CCTACTTGCGGTGACGGTGTTCTAAATCAAGATGAAACCGATACAGATTGTGGTGGTAGTAGATGTCCACAATGCGTCGATACCCAAAGTTGTCGTGCCGGGTCGGATTGTGTTAACGGAGTGTGCTTATCGAATATCTGCCAAGGTACTGACAACTTTCATAAGAATAAATACAAATTACATCAGATGATTCGTTGTAGCATCCAGTTGCACAGATAATGTCATAAATCAAGATGAAACTGATGTCGACTGTGGTGGTAGTACATGTCCCAAATGCGCGGATACCAAGACTTGCGCTGTCACGTCGGATTGTGTTAGTAAAGTCTGCTCATCACAAATATGTCAAGGTATAGTCTGTTGCATAAAATGATATGTTTCACGAAAAACGTTTCTTTAGCTCCCACTTGTACCGATGGTGTTCAGAATCAAGATGAGACTGATGTCGATTGTGGTGGTAGTAGATGTCCCAAATGCGTGGATACCAAGACTTGTAGTGTCGGATCAGACTGCGTTAGCAGAACCTGCTCATTGAACATCTGCCAAGGTAGAGATCTATTCATTCATTATAATTACATGTGATGCAGGATATGATGTTTATTCAGCCCCTACTTGCGGTGACGGTGTTCTAAATCAAGATGAAACCGATACAGATTGTGGTGGTAGTAGATGTCCACAATGCGCCGATACCCAAAGTTGTCTTGCCGGGTCGGATTGTGTTAACGGAGTGTGCTTATCGAATATCTGCCAAGGTACTGACAGTTTTCATAAGAATAAATACGAATTACATCCGATTATTCGTTTTAGCATCCACTTGCATAGATAATGTCATAAATCAAGATGAAACTGATGTCGATTGTGGTGGTAGCACATGCCCACAATGCATCGATACCAAGCTTTGTAGTGCTGCGTCGGATTGTGTTAGCCGAGTTTGCTTATCAAACATCTGTCAAGGTACAGTCAACTGAATAGAAAGAATCGTGATTTATCTGATAATATTTGTTTAGCGCCCACATGCAGCGATGGTGTTCAGAATCAAGATGAGACTGATGTCGATTGTGGTGGTAGTACATGTCCCAAATGCGTGGATACCAAGACTTGCGCTGTCATGTCGGATTGTGTTAGTAAAGTCTGCTCATTGAACATCTGTCAAGGTAGAGATCTATTCATTCATTATAATTACATGTGATGCAGGATATGATGTTTATTCAGCCCCTACTTGCGGTGACGGTGTTCTAAATCAAGATGAAACCGATACAGATTGTGGTGGTAGTAGATGTCCACAATGCGTCGATACCCAAAGTTGTCGTGCCGGGTCGGATTGTGTTAACGGAGTGTGCTTATCGAATGTCTGTCAAGGTAGAGATCTATTCATTCATTATGATTACATGTGATGCAGGATATGATGTTTTTTCAGCCCCTACTTGCGGTGATAGTATTCTAAATCAGGATGAAACCGATATAGATTGTGGTGGTAGTAGATGTCCACAATGCGCCGATACCCAAAGTTGTCTTGCCGGGTCGGATTGTGTTAACGGAGTGTGCTTATCGAATATCTGCCAAGGTACTGACAGTTTTCATAAGAATAAATACGAANTCGATTTAGCATCCACTTGCTTAGATATTGTCATAAATCAAGATGAAACTGATTTAGATTGTGGTGGTAGCACATGCCCACAATGCATCGATACCAAGCTTTGTAGTGCTGCGTCGGATTGTGTTAGCGGAGTTTGCTCATCAAACATCTGTCAAGGTATCTTTATCTGCATAAAATGAAATGTTTTATAGCTACTGCCTTTGTTTAGCACCGACTTGCAGGGATGGTGTCAAAAATCAAGACGAGACCGATATAGATTGCGGTGGAAGTACATGCCCGCAATGTCCGAATGATAAAATTTGTAGTGTAGGATCGGACTGCATTAGCAGAACCTGTTCATCGAATATGTGCCAAGGTATAAACCTATTTATTATGATAACATGTGACATAGTTTACATTGTCTGATTTAGCATCCACTTGTAGTGATGGTGTCAAAAACCAAGATGAAACAGACATGGACTGTGGTGGCAGCATATGCCCGCAATGCGTTGATACCAAACTTTGTAATGTTGCACCAGATTGTGTTAGTGGAGTTTGTTTGTCAAATATCTGCCGAGGTACTGATCTATTTCGTAGAAATAAATATAAATTAGGTATCATACTCTGATTTAGCACCCACTTGCAGCGATGGTGTCATAAATCAAGACGAAACTGATATGGATTGTGGTGGAAGTACATGTCCCGGATGTGCCGATAGTAAGACTTGTAATGTCGGGCCGGATTGTGTTAGTGGAGTGTGCTTATCAAAAATATGTCAAGGTATTGTCAGTGAATAATATTATATGTTTTTACAATATACGATTTTCTTCAGCTCCCACTTGCAGCGATGGTGTCAAGAATCAAGACGAAACTGATATTGATTGCGGTGGAAGTAAATGCGGAAAGTGTGAGAAAGGAAAAGGTTGCAATGTTGCCTCAGAGTGTTTCAGTGGTGAATGTAGTTCGAATGTTTGCCAAAGTGAGTAAATATCGATTTTATTTTCAACGGATTTCTTGGTTAGTTAACTTATTTGGGAGAAATTTTAAAGGCGATATGGAAGGCACTCTTGTTAGTTGCTTTTCGCAGTTTGTATTGGGTCAATTACAAGATCAATTATATGATTGTTTTCGTGAAGGGAAACATTGATCACGAGTGATGTACGAAAAAAGTATGCTGGGTGAGCTGCACGAGCGACACTTATATTTTTAAACGCGGCTGTGAAACCGCGAAAAAACAGCAATAGAGTTTTTCATGACTGAAATTGGTTAAAATCTGTTTGTGATCTTTTAGGTCTTCTAGGAGTTTACTGATTCCTATAAAAAAATTCTATAAAATATGAGTAGGAACGATGGAATTCAGTGAGAAGTGTAACAAATGAAAGAACGAAAAGAGCGCTATGTTAGCATATTCGACTTTTGCAAAAGTGAATTTCATATCTTGTTTTAATTTGAGACTGAACTGATTGTGAAAATATGCCATTATATGATTATAGAACATGAAGTTGCACAGCTTCATTTAGTAATATAACTTTCTGAATGAATAACTTTTCCATCAAAAATAATTTGAACTCTATCATGTTTTCAACCTGTTTCCTTGTTATTTCCTGCTATACATTTAAGATTACATTCTTTTTTGAGCTATTGTACGCTACATGAAACGAATAGTATCGACTTTATACATTCATACGTTTACAACTAAATCAAAAATGAATTAAAGGATATGATATAGAATTGATCAGACAGCCTATGTTCTGATTTGATTTTGATTTTAAGAATGTAATGTGAGGGTATATAATAGGGAATGTGATTGCTAGTACATAGTCAATTGGGATAAGTCACACGAATGCAATGTTTCATTAGTAAATGATTTACCACTCTTTTAAACACCCCTTTCTAAGTCAAACGCTATATTTGATCTTTCTGTGATTTTGCTTTCGTGACGCTACTAGCGGCTGTGTGCGACAGTAGTGGTTAGTTTTTTGTTTTTGAGTGGTTCAGTATGGGGATCGGTATGAGTGTTCGAGCATGGAAGCGTTATTGAATAGCCTCCACATACCAGTAGCTTTAGCTATCCTAAGCAATTGCCAACTCAAATCACACATTCAAGGATAAGAGGAAAATAATTAATTAATTGACAATAGCTGTCACATGCTACTCGATTACTAGTAATAGAACAAGACCACATTCAATATTATTCCGGTTTTAGAGTTGTATCTATACAGTATTCTACTTTGTATTACGAGCTTTCACTTTTCTGAAGCTCATCTATATTTTCCAAAGAAAATGATGAATATAGTGTAGTAGTTGTACGATATTAGTTGAAACAATTTATTTACTAATTCCAATCTCATTTTAATTGTCAGGCTATAGCTTGGTGTAATAAATTGAAATATTCATAGAAACATCAGGAAAAAGACAGATTTAATAAATTTTTTCTGAGTTATTTTGCGTGGGTAGTTATACAATTTTCAGATTGATATCCGGTTTAAGTAAAAATATAGAGAAAACATTTAGTAATGGCCAATAAAAAAATGTTTTCTTCGATGAGATACACGTTTTGGCATGATACATACGGCAGAGAATTATGCTTCGATAGTATATTTTATGATTTTTAAACAACAACTACAGAAAAGCAGTTAATTAGAACTGTTCACATATTAACATACTTTTAGGTCACTAAATAATGCATTAATGCAGTCTAATTAAAAATATTGTGCATACAAATCATTTTAAATCATATCATCGTTCTTTTTCATACTAATTGGCTTCCAAAAGCTATTCAAAATAATGTGATCTTAATGCTATTGATATATTTTAGAAAGATTCTTGAACTCTCCTTCAAAAATTACTAAGTAGATTGCATAAAAAACTAATGTAAATACATATGCAATTCACTTGAATATCTTTCTAGAAGAATCATGAATTATATGAGAGTCTAAATATGGAAAAAATTCTTTCTGTATCCTTTCACGATCTGCCTAAGTTTTCTATGCATTAGCATAAACAGAACATTATTGTATCTCTTGTTTTATTTTACAGTGTGCTCTTTGAGCAGCTTTGTCAATGGTGGCTTCGAGTCTGGAAATTCCGATGGCTGGATTGTCGGTGGTGGCAAACGAAAATCGATTCTTTCATCTGAAATTCAGCCGAAAGATTATTTCCCAGGTGGTTTACATTATGACTCGAGTACTGCGACGCAACATTCAAGTATTGTTAGTAGCAAAGAGGATACTGTCCTTAAGAGTTTGATGCCAAAAACTACACATACTGGTAAATACGCATGGCGAATAGAAGACCTAGACAAAGGGGGCGCTGTATCAGTCATCAGTCAGCAAATTACTAACTACTTCTGTTTAAACATCTATTTTGCTTGGTTGGCGGTTTTGGAAAATGGTAATCACGTTGCAATCAATTCAAGTGTTATGATAATCGAACTGAAAGATGAGACTGTAGGAGATACACTGCTGACACGTCGCTATGATGCTGGTGCAGGTTCAAACGGAGTTGATAATCGTTTCAAGCAGTCAAAAGCCTACTTCTATACACCAGCTTGGCAAATCGAACATCTGAGTATCGATAGCAGCCGCACTGGTCACAACTTCACACTGACTGTTCTAGCAGCAGATTGTCGACCATCTGGTCATAAAGGTTATGTCTATATCGACAGTTTTGGTGGTGTTGCACCGTAGTCCAATATGATGAACTAGCTATTTGGTTCCCTTGGAACAACTAACATGAGAACCATTTTTCCAAATTTCAAATTCCATTTCCATACTCCAGTTCTAATTGATTCGACCTTTTCCTTTAATTTTTCTTGTTTTCGAGTTTTTCTTCCATTTTTTAGTATCCATCTCTTCAGGTTTTTTCGTTTCGTTTGCCAAGTATTTTGAGTTTTTATTCAATATATTATGTCCTCACTTCTTAAATTCGCCTTGATAGATTCTCCTAACTCTATTATACATCTTAAATTTTCAATTTTGTAGCTCTATTTGTTGAAGTGTTTCATCTTTGGATTTCTCAATAAACTAGAGATTGCAAACATCGTTCTATTGAAAAATTATCTTAATTGGAAGATATCTCCACTATCCAGGTATTGAAAATTCAAAGAAAGTCTAGGAATTCAAGAGATGCTAAAATCTCACATAGCAAGAATCAGTGGTTATCGTGGAAATCACTAAACTGAAAATAGTTGAAATATTCTGTGGCTCATAATAACTCGGAAACAAATATTTTCAATTCCATTGAGAGGCGAGTGGAATCAATATTTTTGTACTAGGGGTATCATACAAAAAATAGAGGTGCGTAGCGTAAAATCTTGACAAATATCATATTGTTGGTAGTATTTTATATTACTATTTGAATTCTTTAATCTCTTGAATTGCTACATTTTCTTGAAATCATACTTTCTTGATGATGGATAGCGTTGTTAGTTCATGCTTTTTATCCACTATCTAGACTAAATTCTTCACAGATTTTTCTAGTTTTTCGGTCCATCGAATCGACAATTATAAAATATGAATTCTTCTTCTGATATCTTTCCAAGGAAGGAAAGGCACACTTTTGCGTACTAATCGGACCTTCCTTGTACTTCTTCTTTTTATACGCTGTTAATTTTATTTTTCAAATTAAAATATTTGGCGAGCCGACATATGTATTCAGTACACGTCTTATCACACAATAAACATACTCAGGGCTGGGCATGCCAGATGTTTTTCAAGTCAGAAGTCAAGTCAAGTAAATGAAAATTTTCCCAAATCAAATCAAGCCAGCAATGATAAAAAAACTTTCGAATCATGTCTTATCTAGACTTAAACAAAAGTCTTTTTAACTTCTGAGAAGTTTCTAATTTCCATTACTCCAGTATTCTAAATTGTGCATTGTTTTGAATTATTAATAAAGAGAAATGAAACAGGATGATTTTGGTCGAACAGTTTTTGCTATGCCTATTTGTCAATTTCATACGAAAATTCTATAGAAATTGATCGGGGCTAAATAGAAGTATTTGTTGATGCTTTTTATCAATTTTTCAGTTTTTTCATTTCTCTTAGGGTGTTAGATCATATATATTTCTATGGGTCTACTTTCCTTTCCGTTCAATGGTAGAACTTCTCACCTCATAATGTGTTCTAGACATTTCCTTTTAAATTTTACGCATATTATTGGAAATTTGAATAAATCTAAAAAGTTGAATAACATAATAGTTAAACCAACTGATTGATGAATCAGCTACTAGACAAGAAGAAGACAAAGTGAAGCAGTTTATTTCGTTCACAACGTCACTGTTAAGAAAGAAGTGATATGTGAAAAATGTATAGGTTATGTATGGAATAATATTTTTTCTTTCCTCCTTTTCCTTTTTATCTATTCTGAATATGGCACGACGTATTCAGAACAGATAGGGAAGAAAAGGAGGAAAGAAAAAAAGTATTCCATACATAACCTATACATTTTTCACATATCACTTCTTTCTTAACATCGGAATCTGCAAGCGGAGCAACATCTAAAAAATGCTATGTCGTAAAAACGGTACGTGATGAGTTCTTCGCTCATGTTGTGAAAAATGCAAAAAATTGATCCGCCAAGTGTGTACTATGTGATGAAGTGGTACATGATAATATCGGCGTCACATCTAATCTTAACCATCATATAAAAAACCTCCATAAAACTGAATATAATGAATGGTCAAACAAATCGAAGAAATTAGAACGGCAACAGCCAAAATTACGTGATTTCATTGCTAAAAATACTTCGTTACCATCGGCGTCGAAAAATTCATATCCGATTGGTCATCAACGACAAAAAGAATTACTCGATGCGATTGTTCAAAACTTGATACTTGAACTTGGTCTGCCATTATCACTGGTAGAAAGATCAGCATTTATAAAAATCATGTCTAGTGTCGATCCGAAGTTCAGCATTACTAGTCGACGAACTCTAAGAAGAACAATAATTCCAAGTTTTTATCATAAAATGAATGATTTACTAAAGGAATTTTGCTCAACAACAGAATATATTTCGTTAACACTGGATATTTGGTCTGACAGAAGAACACGTTCATTTTGTTAGTATCACCGTTAACTGTTCACCTTTTTTTGATTATATTTACGTTATCTCGCTATTTAGGTCATGCTATTATTGATATACTATTTAAATCATATGTTTTATGTTTTTTACCTTTAAGTGGTAGTCATAATAGTGAAAAATTACTCGAATGTTATAATTTCAAATTATTAATGAATTTCAAATACTAGAGAAATTATGCAGAATAGTAACCGATAAAGCATCTAACAACATAAAATCATTCGAAGATTTAATTATTCCTGGATTTGAATCATATTTCTATGGCGATGATGAAAATAATAACGGCAGCCATCGATCAGACTGCAGTGATAACGACAAGGGGGAAACAGCAGACTTGAAGTAGAAAAGTACATCAAAGTACTTTACTTGAAGTAAGCGCAAAGTAGCGCAAAGTAGTCCAAAGTAGTCCAAAGTAGCTTGAAGTAATTGCAAGTAACTTCAAGTGAATTTGAAGTTGAAAAGTACTTCAAAGTACTCTACTTGAAGTAAGCGCAAAGTAGCGCAAAGTAGCACAAAGTAGCGCAAAGTAGCGCAAAGTAGCGCAAAGTAGCCTAAAGTAGCACAAAGTAGCACAAAGTAGCACAAAGTAGCGCAAAGTACTTGAAGTACAAAAGTCTGCCGTTTCCCCCTTGGATAACGGTGATGATTTACATGATAATCTGACGATGCCCATTACGAACTCAATAGAAGAAGTATTAGATATTGTTAAAGATAGCTTCGACAATTTAGCATCGAGTAGCGAATTAAGATTACCTTGTTTCGCTCATACACTTCAACTTGTTTTTAAAGATGGCCTAGCAGAAGCCATATGTATTAAACAACCAATCACCAAAGTATCAAAAATAGCAAAATTAGCACATTCAAGTACTACTTTTTCAGAAAAATTAGAAGCAACTGGTGCAAGTATACCGACAGCAAATAAAATTCGATGGAATAGTCAACTGTATACCGTACAAAAAAGACCTGAAATACCATCTTCACAATTAAATTTGATGTTAACAGAATTGAAACTAAAAGACACCCTTCTTATGCGTCAACATCGAGCTTCAATGTCGAAAACAACTTTATAGGTGTTAACAATGTTGAAATGTAACAGTCATCTTCAATAGAAGTCAGTAGCTTTTCCTTTTTTTATACAGATATGTAATACTGTTCCTATTTTTTTGTACAATTAATTTATTAGAGCGCTCTTATTTTTTTAATTTTTTGACTACGATTAATTTATTAAAGCTAGGGATGCATCAATTCCAATTCCAATCAATTCCAGGCCAATTCCAATTCCAACCAATTCCAGGAATTGAATGGACTCGAATTGGAATTGGTGCACCCCTAATGAAAGCGTTCTTATTTTTGATTACGATTAATTTATGAAACTTTTCTTGTCTTTTCATTACAATAAATATGTTGAACTTATTATTTTTGTTTACTTTTATTATGGGAAACTTATATTTTTTTAATCAAATGTAATCCATTCAAATGATATAAATAAATATAGTTCAAATTCAATGAGGTGTATGAACGAATAAAAAAATCAAAAGAGAAGATACCTCTTAACAAGCGTATGACTCAACATGGGAAAATATTTTGACTATTCTGATTTGATTTAGGAAATCTCTTTAATATATTTGACCTGATTTGATAAAAATTTCTAATTCTCGAACTTTTACTTGGCTTGGAAGACTTTTTAAGTAAATTTAATTTTACTAGACTTGACATGTCAAGCTCTGGGCATACTGTTTCTTTAAAATAATTATATCAAGCGGCACCTCAATGGTTCATAACATATTAAAACCAATTACTAATGAAATTGAGAGGATGATAATGAATTCACAAGCACACAGACCGTTTGAGATCATAGTTATAACGAGCTACGCAATCAAATGAGAATGTTTGCTTTACAGGGGAGGAAATAGACTAAAATCTATGAAAGAACTACATGTATCGTTTCTGCCAAAAGACAATTGGATATCATTATAAGCATTGAGATATGAAAGTCGTACGTATTTTAGCAAACACAATCCTGACAATGAACATGCTTATTCGTATTAAGAAAATGTTTCAACCTTTGTGCATGTCAGTAGACACAAAACCTCAAAAAATATCTTCATTTTTTGCAAGTTTTTTTGCACATACCTGTATATGTACAAAGTCATGATATGATTTAATTCTTTCGGACGTATTTCTTATTGGGTGTCAACAAAGATTTTTTGAAAATCTGCTAAAAAAATTGTGATAAGAAAATGATCTTATAATTGTAGAAAACGAAAAAGCAATCATTTATATAATTCTTAATAAATTGTCATCAATATAAGAGTCGATGTTCGTGCCTACACTGTCTTTTCGAGTGAATGTCATTGTATAATCAATACTCCGTGTACCACTTGGCAGTAGATATGCATTGATATAACGACACAATCATGGATTTGATGTCTTGCAAGCCAGTTCTCCTGTAGAGACTTTGTTCACTATAGCCGACGAGGATGATCGAAATGTCACACTAACTTTGACTTGATAATGGCGCATAAAAAAACGGTCCCACGTTTGATAATAAAAACGCAGTTCAGCTCGGAAAATTTGTGAGTCAAGTTGACTTTCTGTGAAACCTTGAACACCACCTAGAAGTTTGACATTCTGAATTAATCCTGATGAGCCACTATTTAAGCCATTTCCACCAGCAAAGCAATACAACCCACTATGAGGATTATATCCAGCATTGAATGCTCCATTCGAATCAACAATAACAGGCAAAGCAGTAGTTTGTTTCCAACCAACAATAGATCCTTCTTCAGCGCCAGGATTTAGTAGTAAATTTGTGGCAATCCTTTTAGTGGTTGTCGCTTTAAAATAATTGAAAGTATACTATAGATTAAAAGTTTATATTTCAGAATGATTGAGCAAAATTTATTTGACGAATCAATAATGTTTCTAATCATTCAAACAAATTCTGCGAAACACAATATTCTTAACTAGCTATTGAACAACCCCTTATCAACATTTTTGAATATAATACTGGACAGATCATTCATTTCTTATGCGCTTAAATGACAAACAGATTTTTATTTGTGCCGGACCAGAGCATGTTAATCGAAAATCAATCTATTGTCGGGGATTTTGATACCTGAGTGAGATCGATATTTTGAGAATATATTTGAATAAAAAGCGATGACATAGTTAGACATATGTCCTCAATAGTTCAATAGAGTCATCCTCAATAGTTCAATCGAGTCATGTGGTCCTATTGCTAGAATCAGCTTGCATTCTATGGTCAAAATTAATAGTTAATTGATGGAGATCAACTATTGTCATTGAGGAAAAAGTAAAAAAAATCGTGTTCAACGAAGAATATAATCAATTTCAATATAAGCCTATTAAATGTTTTAAATAGCATAGTTAATTGAATATAGACATGAGCAACAAGATTAAAAAGCATTGCGATGTAGGGATGAACCGATTGCTACACTATGCTTTTAAAAATGGCATTCTTTCGCCATAAAGACTTGCGCTATATACGGATTTTTTACATTGGTTTTGACCAGTTTTTCATACTCTATCCGAATCAGCCGTCAAAAGCCTTCTAATGTAAAATAAACCTTTTGGAGTCGGTGTGGAATTGGTCAAAAAGTGAAAATATAAAGATTTTTTCGACCGATTCCAACTGAATTACAGATTTTATTTTTCGCTTGAGAATATTCTTGGTGATAGATTTGAAGAGAGCGTTCAAAACTGAGCAGAAATAATATGAAAACTATCAGAATCTCATAACTCGAAGTTTTTTCAGTATTTAAAACGTTTCTAAGAAATTCTAGGAATCGGTTGGAATTGGTTTTTCTTTCGTTGCAAAAATATTTGCTCAGCATCCACACTTGACATACTCTGATAGATTTTCCATATTATTTCTGTTCAGTTTTGAACGCTCTCTTCAAATCTATCACCAAGAATATTCTCAAGCGAAAAATAAAATCTGTAATTCAGTTGGAATCGGTCGAAAAAATCTTTATATTTTCACTTTTTGACCAATTCCACACCGACTCCAAAAGGTTTATTTTACATTAGAAGGCTTTTGACGGCTGATTCGGATAGAGTATGAAAAACTGGTCAAAACCAATGTAAAAAATCCGTATATAGCGCAAGTCTTTATGGCAAAAGAATGCCATTTTTAAAAGCATAGTGTAGCAATCGGTGCATCCCTATTGCGATGTAAACGTACATCTCAAAATAACTCAAGTCAACTGATATTCTCCTTTTTTTATTTCAACACCTACTTTGCAACTTGTATCAACTATAAAGAATATTTAGATCTATATATTATCATTTAAATTTTCATTAATTTAACCTTAAGAATCGACTTGCGCTATTTAGAACATATTAGCTGGTGGGGAATTTAGAAAAGTATGATATTTTTTCAGCGAAGCGCACACTTTAGCATTTAACCATGGAGCGAAGCAATAGTCAAATATAGGGGTGGTACTTTAACTTTCCTTTAACCGTAAAGTTTAAAGTTTAAAGTTGTTTAAAGTCACCTTTAGACGATTCTTTTTAATACGTTTTACCTTACTGACGTATTTAGTCATGCTTACAAGACACTCTGCAACAGATAAAACGCCAACAGGAAGCATTTAAGCGTAACTTTAAACTGTGCACTTTACGGTCAATTTAAAGTTAAAGTGCCACCCCTAGTCAAATACAGTTTATATAAAACAATTGCTAAAAATTTAGCTAATAAATTTAAACCATTTATTTTAAGAAGTAAAAATGCCTAGAAGAATTAGCTAAAATAATGTTAGTCACAAAATTTCATCATTTCTCAGAATAAAACGGCTTAAATTAAGATAAAATCAAGAAAATTTTAAATCAGCCAGATATTTCTGCATCTTAAATTATGTATTTTTCACCAGAGTATAACGATAAGAGTGTTTTTTTTTAAGGGTTTCGATCCGAGAAATTTTCAAAGACTGTAAAAAAATGGAAGGCTTTGATTAACTACATAAGCTCGGAACTCAACTTACATGTGAGGGCAGACTTTCTGTTCACCCGCATCGACACCCCAAATGTGAAAATTACTTTTTTGTTCAATAGACATGAACGACGAAGAACCTTTGCTCTATTTGAATCTCACCTGCTGCTCCTGCTGACGTAATGGTGACTGTCACAGCAATGTTCTTTGTTGCCGTTACATCTGTTGAAGTGACGTCTGGGATTGCTTCTGTGCCTGGCGTAGCAGCGTTTGTTATTGCTTCTGTGCCTGGTGTAGCAGCGTTTGTAGTCATAGACGCAATATCTGTCATGGATGGTAGAGTTGACGACTTGACAGCCATGAATATAGTTGTGAATTTTGTTGGTGATCGAGTTAAAAGAACAGCTGTAACAGTTACGGCGGTTGCAACCACCACGATCAGAATTAGAGCCAGAAGACTTTTGACGAGAGGAGTTATTTTTCTACATTGCATATTATCTATGAGAATAGTATTTTTGATCTAATTAATACGAACTTTCCGCTGTTTACTGTCACTGCGTTAGAGTCATCGGTATCGAAACTTTCTCGTTTGAGTATTGGATTTGACATCGTCCTATCATTGAAACCCAATAGATCAGCCGATGTATCAGTCATAGATATTAAATAATTAAGTATTGAATAAATAAATAAACACCAAGTGTAGAGAATGCTGATGCGATAAAAACGGAAAACAGGAGAATGTTATACAAATTTGTAAAGAATCACAATTCTGTACCAAGGTTTATGAAACAAAAGGGTTTAGAAATGTGTAGACCTCTCTAAACAAAAGTAATAAGGACTCATTTAATGATAATAAACGAGCAGTGTGAATATTTACTATTCTTTATTTTTTCGATAGTCTCATGCATGACTGTTACAAAAATATTGCTATCTTTCGTAACTGACGCATCGATTAACATCGTGAGATAGTGTTATCCTATTTTTTAGAAAAAGAGTTGAAAGCTTCTTCTTTCAGATTTTTTTTCTCTCTAACACTATCATAAACACAACGAGAAAATGAATTTGTTCAGTTGTGTGTCGCATACAAAAGGAAAAATTACACTTACTGCTTGTAAACATATTTTTCTCTCTCGGTTCTCAGTTCATATCTTCTTCATCTTTATCATTCAAGTGCATTTTTTTACTGCGTATCAAACAAGGAGTCATGAGTTAGAGTTCCTTAATTAACCATCTTTACCGAATGTATAGGTGTTGCAAACTAATTTTGATTTTCTTCAACTATTTCATACATTGAAAACAAAAAAGGTGCCAAACGAAACCTTCGAGGTTTCGTGGAGCTGTACGATACTATTTAAGTATCCGTGGAATTATAGGAAATCTGTACAAGGTTCAGAAAAATCCAAGGTTTTGTTATATACTTTTAAAAGTTTTGAAATTTAAAAAGGTTTCGTTGGGAACTATTACAAATTTGTGATTTACAATAGGTTTTTGTCATAAACCCTTTTGAGTTTTGCATTCCAACAGGTTTGTTAAAATACATCGCGAAGAGAACGTATTCATTGCATATCGTAAAAAACAAAGCGATCTCTCTTGACATCGCGTATAGCAGCACAGCTACATGACTAATCAAGCCGACTAATCCGACGACGAATTCTATCGAACTCGATAACATCCTACTAATCGAGGAAATTCAATTGGACTCTGGGTTTCGTAATTATTGATGGATCCAACGCGATAATTTTAAAAAATTATCAAGATTCTCTTTAGCACAAAAAAGCTTTTTAGAAGTTGACTATAGTAGACTTTTTGACGTATTGGATCCCAGAGTAGGATACGATCGGATATGTATAGGATTCCGATCCGAGTTAACCCGTTTTCAGATCCGATTGGATCCAGTTGTAGAAATGAACGACCTGGGTAATCACACAATCAACTGGAGCTTTCACAATTTCATCCAATCTGTTTTCATTAAATATCATCGACAGATTTCTGAACTCATCCCTGAAAAACTTTTTATTGCATTCATCGCTAACTGTTTTCTGTCACCAGATTTCCAGCGGTTATGATAAAGAACGTGCAACATATTTTTTGGCTACCATTTATCGGAATATGATTACAACGGTGCTATATTTTTTGTTAAGAGTATTCTTTTGTTTTTCATTGAACTAATTAATTTAGATTAGATCTTCGATCCAGTAGTTACTATATTTCAATTATTTTCACAAAAACAATTGCTGCATCTATAACAACAACTATTTGATGTGCGTATCTTATTGCTTTTTTTCTTTAGATCTCATTCATTTCTTTATTTAGCGTTGATTCAAGTTTTGAAATTTGGCTATATCATATACACGTACACTAATAAAAAAGCGCCGAATGATAAACGTTTAAAGCGCTTATGAAAATGCAACGTATGATATATCCTTTTCTACCGTTTATGCGATAAACCCTTTTATCTACTCATCAAAAGACGAATTAAAAAGGTTTACCCAGTGAATATACCGCGTGCGGCAAGGTTTATCATAGCGTTTATACGACTGAACAGCTTAAAAAGGAGTGTATGATACGTTTCATTTTCATAAGTCCTATCGAAGGTGTTAGGGAGTGCTCTAACAAGTTATTTATTCTTATACATTCTTGTTTCGTCTTTATACGTTATGTATTTCTTATATGTACAATCCAACTCAAGATGCACATACGTCAACCGCTCTCTTTCATTCTTTCTTTCCTCTCTCTGCATATCTCTCTGTTGTGTTTTCTTCCCCCCCTCCCGTGCGTGACGACGTAAATAATGGCATCGTTTCTTCGACTGGAATTTAAGTGCATTTCTAGAATGATGCACCATCATCTTTATATACAAAATAGTCTAGTTGAAGAAGCAAATGCCTTTTCTTCCTTTGTTTCTTTTCTCTCTCTCCTTCTCTTGTGTGTGTGTGTGGGTTGTATAGTATAAATAGGAAAAAAAATAATAAAGGAAAGATTAAGATTCAGATTAGGAATCGAAAATAGGAAATTTGTTGTTGATTGGTTAAATAGAAATAGAAATTTCTATTGTGTGAATTGATTTAAGTTACAGCGGGGCCTCTGTAACACTTTCTATCTCAGTTTTTTCAATATCTTCATATTAAACACAAAAATGCATGTTTATCTTTCCTCATTTTTGCTGCCATTATTATCTACACTGCTATATTGTAAAAATCAACCACATGGCTGATGTAAAAATATCGATGATCGAATAAGACTCCTTACCAGCCGATGTCAAAATGCTTATTTTTTAATGTGAGTCTACAAGATATATTATTTTGTATATATAGGCGTTACATACTTCTTATTTTTTCCAACATAAAATGCTTATCTGAGTCAATGAAGTGTGACTCTAATTTCACTGCTTCTTAATTTCGCATATCAAAACATTGCTTCATGTACACCGCCAGTTCGCCAAATAAGTGATTCATATTTTTCTTTCAATTGTGACCAGTGCAAAAAGTCGATGGGTATCTTACCAGTTCTTTTCATCAAGTTAGCGCGTGGGTGACTGTATAAAATAACATTAACCAGACACAGACCCTCACACCAACACCCTAAGAAACCACTTTTGACGCAAAAGTAAAATAATCAACCCTTGTGCGTAGAGTAATAAACTTTTCCGATCAAACAGTAGAACAATCGATCTCTCTACGTAGAATGATAAACCCTTTCGATGAAAGAGCGGAAATATCAACTCCTGTACGATGAACGCTGAATTTCTTTCAACAAAAGAGAAGTAGAATAAACTATCAACTGACGATAAAACTATCCCTTGAGATGCTAAGGTAGATAAGCCGATATTTGTCAGTAGAATAAAAGAACCTGTCAATGAAGAGGCATAGAATCGAGCATTCACGTACAGTACTAAACCCTTTTTATTAAGATGTAGATAAATCAACTGTTGAACGTGGAATACTAAACCCTTAGCAGGAAATGGTGGTAAAATCTACCATTAGGCGTAGAATAATGAACTATTTCTGAGAAGGATAGCTTACTCTACGCAGAAAGGTAGAGTGATGTACCCTTTTAACGAAAAAGTAAAATAGTAAACCCGATAACGAAGAATAAAATACCCCTACCTTGAAACTGAACAACAATCTACTATCATCCGTCGACGGATATAATTACTCTTATCTTAAAATCGTAGAATAATGAATCCTTATGTGCCCATCGTATACCCCTTGAGTTTTCATAAACCCTTCGACTAATAAACGCTAAAAGGGTTCATCACATCGTAATAAATCCTTCAAGGGTTTAATGGAGACTTTTTTAAGTGCAGAGGTAAATCATTACCCGGATTTTTTATCAGTGTAGAAATGGTGCTTAAACATTAAGCACAGTTTGAAAAAGTATTAAGGTTTTAAAGATGTACACTTTAAAACTGTAACTTTAATTAAAGTGGACAAAATGTTTATATCTTAACAGAATAGTGTATCATAATCGTCGATCTACTGAAAAAGGAGCGATGACACATAACTTTAAACACTTTAACTTTAATTTTTACACAGTGAAAGTGGACGATATTAAAGAAAGCGACAATAAAAACACAAACAAATTTGTCAACTAAAATGATAGCATCACCGGTGTTTTGGCGAAAAAGCGAATGCATAAACTTCTCCGAATTTTTATTGCTGATTTCTTTAATTTAGTCAACTTAAACTGCTTCAAAAGTAAAACTAAAGTTAAACTGTTATAAAGCTGTGAGCTATAGCTCGTAATAAGTAGATAGAAAATGATGATACACTATTCTGTTAAGAAACAAAAAATTTAGTCCACTTTAATTAAAGATAAAGTTTTACAGTGCCCTAATTTAACAGTAACATTTAAACTTAGAAATACTACTAAAACTTTAATTTCTAGAACAAAGTTAAAGTCCCCGCCCTATGCTGCACACAATCAATAACACCATCTTCCATCACAATCCTTTCCTCGCCTACCGACAAGCGAAACCACTCTCACTAACATACATTACTCAAAACGCAAATTTAGCAACACTAATCTTCCAAAACTACCACCTTCATCTACTTCCAGATGTGCCAAACCTCATCAAAGCAATTTTGATTCTCACCAATTCCGTGAACAACCCAGAACCTGCTACACAAAACAACGCAATGCGATGAAATCATTCATGATTGCCACAATTCACCGAATACATAACACACAAAGCACAACGCACCGAGTAGTTTTCCGTATTGACTTTCATAGACGCCCAGTTCTATCGTAGACAAGAGCAAAGCCTATTTGCACCACTTCCCATCCCAATGCACATCAATACTGTCATAAAACACCAATAAAACATAACACCCTATATCAGTCATTCTGAACAACAAACGTCAATTGTCACTTGCCAAAAAAAATGGCTAAATGAATCCAACAACGAACCGAGCAAACTTAACCAAAGAACTTCTCTCACCCCCTTACATACATGTTCATTTTACATAAATACTTTACCAAATAACACAGACGTATACCGCACGTCAATTATCGATTCCATATCCATCATTGCGCTCACTATTTTCAAAAACAACTAAACCAAATACCATCACCAAACAACACACACTAAATACCTAAACAACGAGTATTCAGAGTCCTCATCATTTTCCGATGACACTACCAATGACGCTAAAAACAAATAACCTAAACTACCAATCCCTCACCCTAAGAGACTGAAGTCCATGAATATTTGCATTTCATCACTCTCCTGATGATCATTACGGTACACTCTGTTATTTTTCCTCAGAGGGAATGATGACAACGACGATGATCATTATGATCATGATGAAAATCCAGGTGCTAGACTTTGAATTATTAGGACTAGCACAATGATGTTCCGTCGCAGATAGCGTGCCAGTCTTTAAACAAGATAATAAAAATAAAATAAAAGGAAATTATTGATTGTAGTAACAGTTTTCTTTGTGAAATGTTCTCGTGTATTGAAGGAAAGAAATACTTTGTGCAAAGAATCAGACGCATCGATAACCCATCGAAGTGTATCGATCTTTTAAATGTCAATTTGGAATACGTTTATTGGAATTTGTGTAAATGAAAATAGTAGAATACTATTGAATATTCATCAGATCACATAGATACCAAATTGGAATACAATTAGCGGAATCTTCATGGGTTCCGACAGTTGAGTATTGTCGGATGTTCACAGGAATTCATTGACTGTTTTGTTATAGATTCGAGGACCCGGAATCCCATAGGATTGTCCCGGCTTAGAAAATACTCTCAAATTCAAGCCGAGTTTGTTATGAGATTCATCGACGTGTTTAAGTAGGAATCCAATTTTGGGATCTACCTTGGTTCCGATATTAGAAGATTATCGGAAATTCAGCGGATCCAATAAATACCTAATGAAAATCCAATAAACGGAATCTTTATCGGTTCTGACAGTTGGATATCCTCGGAAGTTCCTATAGAATTCGTTGTCAGATTAGTCGACCTGAGTCATCCACACTCAAGTGATAAGTGTGACGATTTCAGATAGAAGAGATGCCTATGTGGTTGGTATTACACTTTATTTAACTCTTCAAATCATAAATCGCTTCGATTACAGATAAAGCACACGCTTAAATACTCAATCATTTGAGAGAACGAAGGAGAATGAGAGATAAAGACAAATATCAAGGACAGAAAGATAAAGGCAATAGGTGTGATGAGAATAAATGGCATCATATGGTCAGATATTATGTATAGGTTATACTCGAGCGGGAGCGGTACACCCCTGGATGGAATTTGGACGCTTTCCGCATATAACGTTGCAATAAGTCATTTTGGATTTTTTTTCTAACTTATATGGTTGCTTTGGGCTTTGTATTATGAGTGGAACCTTTTTCAAGTTCTAGAGTATGTACGAAACCTTTTTTTAGCTTACGAAACCATTTGTGCTTCCTTAAAGTTGATTTTTCTTTCAGTGTATCATACTAGTAAAAACAATTTTTCTCAACACATGAAGGAAAAAAAAACTAAATGGTCCTTAGTATGGTGAGAAGGAGGTACGATTAATAGAACGAAATCAAATATTTTACTCCATCGTTTACGTAGAAAAACGGGATAGGTGTACAAAATCGACCTACACGTAGTGCGCATAATGCAATTCGAAACACGACCATCACCAATAGAGTTTTGAATGTAGAGTCGTTTTAACAAATCATCTCTACTCAGATTTTTTTATGCTGAATCTTAAAAAATAAGTCCCAAACGTTAAATGAAACGATAAAGCAATAAAATGTTCACATTTTGTAACAGATGTATATTTTTAGAGGGAAACAATACTTTCTTAGTATCTTGCAATTTTTCACCGCATGGAAACATTTGTTAAGGCTAAACAGTAGACTTTCGTGACCGGTAGCTCTAGCTGTATCATATAATGTAAGAACAACGCAAAAAACATTTTTATTGAAATTCAAATTATCGACACCTTATTATTTTACTTTAATTATAGCGATATCTTATTTTGTCATCATGAAAGAAGGTGCAAAAATGGAATGTAGGAAATGTTTACCATGGAATCAGCATAATTAGTTTCTAAACGCAACTGGGAACGATAGGTTTTTTCAATGAAAGTTAAAGGTTTACGGAGGTGTAGGATAGTGATATATTTATTAGTTTTTCTCTTAAGTAGTTTAGTTTCTCTTCGTAAGAAAGGTAATTGTCCCACTGTCATTATAAGCACATAGAAATAGTTGATTGTAATTGTGATGGTTACTCGTCGATTTTCATAATTCCGTAGCTAATATTGAAGGCACTTGTGTATGGAATCCACACGTTCTCATGATGATAATACACTGTATTATCAGCGACAGCAAAAATTTTAGGTCCAGGTCCAAATGTTTCATAATAGTTAGCATCAGGAATATCAGCTCCCTTTCGATAAAATTCTTCTTTCAAATACTCCCATGTTCGATTAACACCAAAAACGTGAACCGGTAATCCTGTGCGTATGCTGATAAAGGTAAAGCTGCATGTATTCATCTCGGTCTCCGCCATACTTTTCGTTTCTTTCTTGACCGAAAATAAATCGTTTAATATTATATTTACTTGTCTTATTTGGATGAAAAAAACGACGATTGAGTAGTGATAATAGTAAGTAAAGCATGGCTTCAATGCCGACGAGTAGCAGTTTATGATTGCTGCCGAAACCAAAAAACAATTCATTTTTTCATTTTTTCATATTGTGTTTAAGTGAAATGTGAGGAAACCTGCGATCCACTTTGGTTGGAAATTGATTTATCTTTTCCCCGTGGATGGCTGAAAATATCAATGATACAACAGATGGCCTCATAGATAAAATTATTTTATGGTTTTACAAGAACGATGTGGATGTGTCTCCGAACACGGTAACCAGTAGTTCAAACTCATCGGAATGGACTAAGTTTCGCGATATAGAAATAGAAATTATTGAAGAAGCTTATCAGGAAAGTAAAGTAGATGTTTTATTGGACAAGCATCGCATTGATTTGAAGAACTTAATACAAATACGACTAGACGACAACAAACAACAGGGATCGGTCAAACGAGAGATAGTTTCCAGTAGAACAAAATGTCTCCGTCAAGGTCGATTTTCAGGAGCTTCTGTCATAACATCGGAGGCGATATCATCAACTACATATGGTACTTTTGACTCATGGTGTCCATTTATGCGTAGTTGGCTGATGTCATCTGCAGGGAAGCGAGCCTGGCTTCACCTTCCCTCATGTATCGAAGCATGTGCTCAAGGTATTATACAAGAAGCACTTCAGCATGATAGTAATAGCAATGCTGAGGCAGCATTCATGGCGAAAAGAATTCGTCAATGCGTAGGACAACCTCGATTAGCAGTATCTAGGCTTTGCATTCGTTTTTATACAAAAGACAGCTTTCTTTATGACGTGCTCAATAAAGCATTACGAGAATTAGACCTTTCAAAATTAGAAACATTAGGTCCACTGGGTTACCTCATTAGTGCATATTCACGGGACGCTCAAGAGTTTGTTGGTACAGTCTATCGAGGAGTGGAACTGAAGTATACTGAAATTGAGCAGTATAAGTGTGCAATAGGAATGTGGAAAACATGGCCTGCCTACACTTCGACAAGCAAGAATCGTAAAATGGCAGAATTTTATGGAAACACTCTATTCGTCATTGAAATTACTGATAACAAGCTGTCTGCCCCTCGTACGTTCGATATTAGTAACATTTCAAGCTTCCCAGAAGAGGAAGAGGTTCTCCTACCGGCAGGAGCTTGCTTCCAGATTATTAATGTTACTCAAAATCGTGAACAAAAATATATTATCGATATTCAAATTTGATGCGAGATGGTAAGTGTTGTCAATAATATTACATAGTTTTTTGTTTATTCTTTTCAGATTATTCTATAATTTTATTATAGTTTTCATGGCGGTCAGTTCAAAATAGATACCATCCGAAAATATACGGATGACTAGACTTTGGGTTGGTTTAGGTGTGAATTCTCTCTACGTCAAAACCCACGATACTCAAAACTTACACTGTTATTTTGCAACGAAAAAATTATATTATTGACATATAATTGTGGATTGCATGCCATGGTAAAGAAATGGTAAAAATAATAGTTCTATTTGTTTATTTCGTTTGTTTCGTGGCAATTGCTTATCGTTCTTCTTGAATCATACATCAGAAGATGAATGCATTGTATATAATTATCACGCTTCTGTTCAGATATTTTGCTCACTCAAGCCAATTAGTAGGGCTAGACTCCGATAGTAAAGTGGCGAAGCAGTATTTCAACGAGAGATTCCACTACTTCCGAACTTAAAAGTCACATAGTAAATAAAAAGATACAAGCCAATCTTTGTTGAATGGTAGACTTGTCGTGAAACAATCGTTTCAAGTTGATGACACAATCGAGAATCATATACCAATTGAATGATTGTAACTTGGTTTACATCCAAATAGTTTTATAATGTAGATGAAGAACTTTCGAACCCAGAACATTAATCGAGATAACATTTAAAACGAACGCTCATTATAAATGATATTTTCGTATAGTACACGCACTTAAAAGCAAACTTTTCGACATCACTGTCATTATTAGAGGTGACAAAAAAGTAATCGTAATTCGTAACACTATGTTGACTTATTTTGTTCACTCTGAGCTACGGCAGGTTGAAGTAGACGTGGTTAGAGGCATAGCGACTCGTCTAGCTTAGAAACCATCGATGTTTGAGTTGAATAACTGCAAGTAACTCTTACATTTGTTTTTCTCAAAGGTGTGTTTATCAAAATTATTCTTGATCAGACATAATGAAACATATTGATAAGTCTAGTCTATTCGTGATGAAGAAGAAAATCATATTAAATTTTAGTTATTTTCAAGTTATATAAAATTCTACAAATGAATAATAGAACTTTGCAAAAATGCTCCAACCTTTCCAAGGTTAATTTTCTAACACATAGAAGTTATTTCAAATTTGTTGTTTGTGCTTACACTTTTATGTATTCAATGTCAACAACCTAATTCAGACAAAAAATCGAGTAAGTCACGTTAGAAAGCAGTTATTTCTCAGATGTAATCGTCGAAAAATCAGTCTTTCAAGTTTTACTTTATGAATCACTATTTGTACATGCCTCTTCCTACTTGTCAGTGAAATATTTGACACTTATACAATTATTTTATTTACGACCAGGCAGTAATAGTTTCTTTTTTTTCTTTCTTACTTTTTCAATATTTGACGAAGTCAGCGAGCAAATACTATTGTGCGTGCACAGCAAGAAAGAGCAATTGAAGAAAAATAAATCACCTTGAAAGTAATGTAGCCATATTTTTATTTTTTATGCGCTATATACGGGAGAGCCCGTGTCTATGAAACATTTCATTATTAAGCTTTCATCAGAAAGTTCAAATCATATTGAATCTCTCGCAATCCATTTTCCTGTAAAGGATCATGGATTGACACGATTAAAATAATCTCTTATACTATGATAACACTATTCGCTGATTTCCCAAAAATAGAACTTATGTTTATCAGTTATTTTTTTCAAATTTTAGTTACAGTCAAAAACTTGGATAGGTCTGCATAAAGATAGTGTGAATATTTTATTATTCTGCTTCAGTTAACAATGTACCAGGACGTGGAACCAAAACGTGTAGACGTAGAAAATAATCGGCCGAAAACTACCGCCACTGATGATTCATTGACCAATGAAGGGCAAGCTATAAATGGTGACTCGAATAAATCACAATCTTTTCAAATGCCACGTGCTCCACCTCATGTTTATTCATGTTTCGTCGTTAATAGAACGTCCGAACAGATAGAGTGTATGCTTAAATATGATGGACGACCAGGCGAAGAAAAATTCGATGAAGTGATCAATGTAACTATTCCTGCCAATTCTGAGCATTATTTTCCTCGTAAATTCTTTCAACCTGATCTACCTGAATCCTACTGCAAATGGGTCAAAATTGTGACACATGTCCGAGTTAAAAAGCAGAATGGAAAATTTTTGGAGATTGACTATCCATTCGAAAATGTTCATGCTCCAATACGAAATTGGGAGTTTCATGTGCGAGACGAGGGTGACATACTCTCGAAGCCTCCGACGCGCGTCGTTAATGTTCTGAAATATGAAAATCTCGATCAATATGAATGTTAAATAAGCATACTATTTGTACCCTTTTCCACAATTGTCCTATCATACCAAAATAAAGCTAATCTCTGCTCGATAGCTCCGAGTAAAAGAATAGTTTACAAAATAGTTTTTCTTATGCCTATTCACTTCCGTGTCTACTACTGTGACTTGAGGGTGTGGGTGAGCAGAAGAACCAGAACTACACCCCAATTGCAAGAGAAAGCGAGGCCACCCACCATGTTGCACTATGTACAGTCTATGAGATTTGGCTTCAATAAAACTGATCACAATGATTGTCTCGATTTCTTTTGCATCGGGCTATATTTTTGTAGCCCTACCGCTGACTTGCACTTTATTACTAATAGCTCTGCAACGATTTCGTTTCATAAAGAACAAATTATTTTCTAAAACAACAGCAGCATTTGTTTTCCAAGCGTTACACTTAAATTCTGCTGATCAAGGTGAGAAAATAATCAAAAAAAGTTACTATACTGTGACCCATATCTGTACAACATCTTATAACGACATCTATCGAAATTATTATTCAAGTTTTTAAGATTTTAAAATAAAACTTCATTCTTTAATTTATCTTTTGATCAACGTATCGAGAATAGTTTTTAAAAAAATAGAATTTATTTAATGGTTGCAATGATACTAATCAGAAAGGAATCGAATTATGGCTGATCGATGATATTTTCACATACTGATCTTGTTCAATGTTGTGAGAAGAGTCATAAAATGGACCAATTTAAAAAGCTGTATCATGAATATTGTAAAACTTATCACGTTGAACCGAATGATTTACTTTTAGGTGAAATTCAAAAGTATAAATACAAAATTTTTTTCGCAAAAAAAACAACTTTTTCGATTATTTTAAAGAGTCTCGGGCGAAGATAATAAAACAAAAAGTCTAAACTTATCATCATTTAATATTCCCGAGGCACAATGCTCGATACTAGGGAAAATACTTACACACGATTTTATTTTTACTAGTATCCAACTTAATGATTGTAATTTATCAAGTGATGGTAAATAGTTTTATTTTTCTATTTCTCTTAATTTCTTTTCTTTACAAGCCTTAAATGCACTCCTGCACGGACTTATGACAAATGCAACATGCAAAATATTAGAATTAAAAGTAGATATTTTGTTATGATATTTGTATGAATTCATTTTGTCAATAAAGGGAAACGGTATTCAAGGACCTGGAACTGAAGCTCTATCTAAAATATTGAGAAAAAATCAAACAATTCGAACGTGAGTACAAAATTTCTATGCAAATGAATCCATTGTTTATCGCTCCGCACTTTGTTATTTGATACGTTACTTCAAATAACGAAATACGTCTAGAATTGCTGAGACTAAAATTGATCATCATGGTTAGTTTACGAGCAGAAAACAATGCAAAAGTTGAATAGGTCCCGCATGAGACAGTACTAGTTGAAAATTAATATTGATTGATTCATGAGAATGAATTCTGTATGAAATATTAAGAAATTTGCTTTCTTTTAGTTTACGATTAGAATGGAATCAAATAGGCTCGATGAATTCTCCAGCATTTAGTATTTTTTGCGATGCACTTGCTGATAATAAAGCCCTAATTGATCTTGATTTACGTAATAACGACATAAATCATGTTGGTGCTTCAGAATTAGCATCAGCTTTGAAACGAAACACAATATTACGTGCGATAGGTACGTATACAAAATAAATAAATAATTCGTCATTCCCATCTAATTAACAAACACAAACAGATCTTCGTTGGAATAACGTTGGACTTATCGGTGGTCGAGCTCTATTAGCAGTATGCGAATCGAATGCAACGTTAAATGAATTACAATTAATTGGTAATACTGTTCCAGATGATATTATGCAGAGTATTGGTATGTCGTTTATATTCTTGATAATGTTCAAATATTTATTTCTTCACTGTCAGCTAATGCATTATCGAAAAATGCCGAACACCGTAAAATGCATTTCGGACATTCACAAAATATGGCTGTACTTTCAAGACAATTACAAAATGTTCACGAAGAAAAAAATCGTGAAATAACAACAACACTAACACGGATGTCACTTCAGGAACAAGCAATGCTGAAAGCTAATAAGTAAATCAGTTTTTAAGATATATCCGATAGAATCGTGTTTTTTCTCTTGTCAATAGATCATTGGCTGAAAAGTTAAAAAAGCTTCAAGAAGCATTGGATGATCGAAAATTGGCATTTAACGCATTGTCAGCAAAATATACTGAACTCGAAGCAAGTATAACTGTAGCTAAACAAGAAAACGATGATTCGTTAAATAAAATGAGAAAAATGGAAATTGGTCATCATGAATCCATTCATCAAATTCAAAGAGACCATAAACAAGAAAAAGATGTAATGTACGATTAGAATATATTTCATGATGAAGTAAACTATTTTTTCTTTAGGATTTAATTCATACGCAAGATAAACTTCAACGAGACTTAAAAGAAAACCTCGATGTTCAAAGACGTTTAACTGAAAAAATTCATGATCTTGAACGAAAAAATGAAAAACTTCAAACCACAGTTCATGAACTTCAAGAAGCTGTATGTTATTCTCTCTTCGTCCTTTCTGAAAAACAGAACAAAATCTTTGTATAGATCGCCATGAACGATCGCACCCATCAGATAAAATTAACATCATCCGATGATGAAATTCAGCGATTGAAACTAAAACATAAGGAAGATTTAAAAGATCACGAATTAGTTGCTAATCGAGATATTCAACGGTTAAAAGAAGCTCATGCAGCTTCCGAACAAACATTAAAAGAACAATTATCGAAATTTGAAAATATTCGAACAGCACTTGAACGAGTATAAAAAATTTTCGATGTATCAGTTCATTAAATGATTTCATTTTAAGGAAATCAATTCACTTAAATCTACTTCATCAACACAAAAATTGCATCACGATGAATTACTGCAGCAAGAAAAAATTCGAATTAAAAATGATGAAGAAAAAAAACAACAAGAACTTGAAGATCGTTTACGAACATTAACTAGTTTAAAAGATGAACTCGAAGTAATAATCATTCGGGAGATATATAATATTATCTTAAGTTTACCCATTCTCACTTTCTGCACCCTCAGCAGGTCCATCGTTCAGAAAATTCAGTAAAAGAATCTTGAGTGCAATAAATCTCTTCAGCTAGGATGAAGTAATCGCGATTACCTTAACGCGTACATCACGCTTATTTCGTTTTCAAGCACTCTGTATAATGAATATATTTTATAGTCTCGAAATAATCAACAATCAATTGCATATCGAGAACTTCAACAAAAACTGAATTTTCAATCCGTCGAAATCGAATCACTGAAGCGACAAATTGCATCAGTAGAACTGGTAAAACTTATTCAGATATTACTTTTTTGTAGAATTAACTTCCTATGTTTCAGACGATTCATGCGAAAGATTCGGAACTTATTGAAACTCGTGAAAAAATTAAAACAGACTACGAAAAAAAGTTCCGTTCGATTCAACAAGATATTGATCTTAATGGTGAATTAAAACAACGTGTTAAACAATTGGAGAATGAATTAAAAGGTATGATAGAAACAAAACAGAATATTACATCAATAGTTTCTTTATATTAGATCAACACTTCACTGATCAGAATACAATTCGTGAACTTCAAAGTCGTTTAGCGGAATTACAAACAACGCTGAGTCATCGCGATCAAGAAATAAGTCGTTTAAAACTTGAGGAAGAGCATAGATTACAATTTCTTCGTTCTGCAATTGTTGATTATATTGGTACAGGGACAGATCATTAATGTATTTCTGTTTTTATCAAATTTAAACATGAATTTTGTACTATATGTGTATGAGACTTTTTTTTAAAATAAAAGATATACTAGTGAACATTCAGAGAATAATAGTAAACATTGATCAGGATCAAAAAGAAATATAGATAAGATGCTTCATTATAATTCATCGAAACTTTTCACAAGAGAAAACTGAATAGGAACGTCATCAATCCGAGATCCTTCTACAGGTTTGTGTAGTTGTAGAAGTCTTATTACAAAATGAACAGTCGGTGAAAAACGTACTGGTATAATCTTTGCACTGGTGAATGTAAGGGAGAAAATAATAATAATAATAAAAGTAGAAGAATCGTAGAGAGCGCATAGTAATTGTGTAATAGTGAATGATGCACAATTTGAAAAATCCCGGAATACGAAATACCATTCGATTAGAACAGAAAATATTGAAGTTTTCATAATGATACTTTCTAAATAAATTAAGATTTTGACAACCCAAAAATTTATAATCTTCTGAGCGTTGATAATTATTCAAGCTTGTAAAATGTTTTAGGTATTAGAAATAAAAGATCTGAAATAAAAAAATTGAGTCGTTTTTATTCATTTTCTGTTGACAAATAGTTTAATTTAACGATTTTGTCTTACTATCTATAACGAGATAAAAGCTTGCTTTTTATTTAAAAATATTTACCAGAGATACGGATTGTCGCGGAATCCCGACAATCGGTATCATTGTCTCGTTTTGTGCGTTTCTATTGCCTATGCATCCCGAGTCATGAAATGAAAAAACATTACGTACTTTTAATATCTATCAGGCTATGTTTTATTTTCTTATAAATTGATTGATATAATTACAGACACAAAAATATGTTTGTCACTTCGAATACAGATACTTTGAAATGTCCCATTACTTTTGAATTATTTCGCGATCCCGTTACTGGCCAAGATGGTCATACATACGAACGAGATGCGATTATAACATGGCTCCAAAAAAATGGTGCCAGTCCGCAGACACGTGAGCCAATGACTATTGATTCATTACGACCAAATCATATTGTCAAACAACTCGTTGATGAATTCAAATCATCATCATTACAGAAACATTTTCTTTTCAGATTTGGTATTGATATAAGAAAAGCAGGAAAACGACCTATCTTTCAAACACAAGGAAAATCTATTTATAGAGCTGAATGGATATCAAAACCTGGTCCTGACGTTGTTCTACTGAAAATCGAAGGAGCTAAAGCAAATCGAGAAGCAGGATATTATGTTCAACTTGGTTCTCACCCTCATATTGTTCACACATATGGTATGGTGGAAAATGATTTCAACGCTCTTATGCTTGTACAAGAATATGCCACTGAAGGTGATCTTGCAGAACTTTTAAAAGAAAACGAATTTCAGCCATCAAAATTAGTTCTATTAGAAATATTTTTACAAATTATTGATGCAATGGTTTATCTTGCTAATTATGGTATTGTACATGGTGATCTTGCTTGTCGTAATGTATTAGTTTTTCGTCTTCATAATTCCAATCCACAAGAAAATTTAGTCAAGTTGACTGATTTTGGTTTAACACGTGCGAGTGCATTATATTCTGTTGTTGGTAGTACAGCATCAACAACACTTGTTGTTGTTCCTCTAAGATATGCTGCACCAGAAATTCTACTCAGTGCAGGTCTATCAAATTATTCTGAAAAATCAGATGTCTATTCAATGGGTATTTTAATGTGGGAAGCCTGTTCTCAAGGACAATTACCTTATGGATCAATTGAAGATGATAGTGAAGTTTGTAGATTTAAAATTGAAGGAGGCATCTTGAGTCAACCTGAGAATTGCGATGAAAAACTATGGAACATAATGGTTCAGTGTTGGCATCAACAATCAGGAGCTCGCTCAACATTCAAAATGCTGAAAGAATCTTTATGTGAGTTATCGGTACAATCAGCAGCATTTCAGTATGTTCTAAAGAATAATTTTTGTTTTGTTTATTTAATCAATGCATATCTAATATTAATATCTAGCCTTAAAAATGTTAAAAACAAAAGCATCAAGAATAAAATGGTATGTTGAAATGAAACTCAGTGAACTTGCTCAGTAGAAAAATAGTAACGACACACGAGAATAAATCTCATTGACGTTTTAAACTGACTAATCTAAATAAGTTAATAATGCTCTTCTATGCCATAAAGACACTTAATAAAATTCTAGTTTGCTCATATTGAGATAGTCTGGACAAACGACATGGAAAAATCATTTCTAGTTTGAAGATTTATTTCAATCATTGTCATTTTTTGTAGCCAACTATCGTTCACAACACAACTGATAGTCATGTACAAAGAAAAGCAGGCACACGCATAGATTCTCCGATGTCTAATGAAAATCCTCTGATGAAGACAACGATTATCTGCAACTTTTGCAATAGCTATTTGCCTGGTCTTGGTAAATTTATTCATGATCAGGTTAGTAATCTTGCATATTAATGTGCAAAGATGTACAATGAATTCAAAGATAAGGAATATGTTTCACATAAACTCATCATGTGCACGATGTATTTCCATTTAGTATTTTTGTTTTTCTTTGATTCAACAAGAGATTGTATACCACATAACAATTAACAGAAGCAGAGACAAAAAAAAATTCTGCTAGGGATATTAACGACGATACGTGAATTTTGATTATCTATATTACTCTTCAATAAATTGCTAACCCTATATTTAATATATTCCGCCTCCTAATCCAATAAAAAAATTGATATTTATCGATCGTATTTTGGTAAATGGTGATGGTTCTCTTTTGACATTAAACTTAAGATGTTTTTGTTAGCATCCATCTCATATTGCAAGACAAACTTCGTCGAGAAAACTGCCACCTTAGCAAACAATTATAGTAGAGGATGTCATCTATCGAAACCTTTGCATACTGTTCATAGCTTTCATATTGACTAAATGAAGTTTTATAGTATTTATTAGTTCAGTCTAGTATATAGACTGTCCTTCTATGAGTATTATCAGTTGTTTTCATTAATGAAATTATCTATTTTACTAAATCTTTAATAAAATTTTACATTATTTTCATTCAAAAGCGTATCCGTCGTACTTTCAAACTAGGGGTGTCGCATTTTAATTTAAAATAAATTAAATTGGTTTAATTTTGAAAATTAGTAGATAAACAGTTTTTGACTTGATTGCTATTATTTAAAGTCAAATTTGAGTATGTTTCCTGTTTTCTAAAGTTAAAGCCAGCCAGTCTTCTACGAATAGTGCTAGTAAATATATTTTTATGAGTATCCCGGTATTTTCAAGAAGAAAGATGACGGATCCAGCATAATCTGTAGAGGAATTTTGACTATTATGAACAAATATTTACCTAAAATACTAGGTTATCCTCTCATTTAGTATTTACTACTGTTAAAGTCACGCATTTTCCTCATAGCAATGATGTGTATCCATCCAAACAATTTATTAAATTTAAAATTTGAACTAAAATTAAATTAACTTTTCGCGAAGTTAAATTTTAATTAAATAAACTGTAAATTGGCACGTCTAGTTTCAACATTAAACATCGATTTTTTGAATTTGTGTGGCCGTTCACCCAATAAATATATGCTTGTTGCTTGTATAGACTTTCAGGATGCTCAATCTCAATGGGAAACAAATTGACGACGAGGCCTTACAACATGTGGCTAGTATTCTAGCAGACCATAAAGTAATACAATTTTATAGTATTCAATCTACAAAAATCCATTCCATAGACATTGATAGAATTTAATCTAAGTAACAATCACATCGGCCATAAAGGAGCTCGACATCTAGCGAGAGCTCTGCGCAATAATCAAGTAATATTCGCTTACTTTATGATATTCTGTGCCATCTTTGCTTTCTTTCTCTCTATCTCACCATCAGACACTCACAAAACTGAACCTTCTAAACAATAGCATTGGAGATATAGGAGCTCAATATTTGGCTGAGGCAATACACACAAATAAGGTAATAACAGATGATTGTATTTCTGTAAAACAGATTAAAAGTTTCTAGGAACAAAACAAACTAAATGATTTACTAATGCGAGTCAAACCATGGGATGCACGAATCCTTCCTGAGACACTGCGAACTAATCAAGTAGAACTATTTATATGCCCACTAATATGTTTCTACCTAGAATGTAAGCATTCCCATATATAGACATTGACAACGCTAAACCTTTCCAGCAATTACATTGGACCTTCAGGTGTGATGCATCTTGCAGGAGCACTAGGGATTAATCAGGTAGCAGTATCATTTAAAGTTTTAAACAGATACGTCAATTTTATCTTTGACTCTCGTTTCACATAGACATTGACAACATTAAAACTCAAGAAAAATCACATTGGTGATACAGGGCTACAGTATCTTGCAGAAGCACTACGAAGTAATCAAGTAAAGTGCTGTCTAGATTCACCAGAAAGCTTCTTATTTACCGACACTTTCATTCTACTTAGACATTGACAACGCTTGGTCTTTCACGCAATACCATTGGTAATGCAGGAGTACAATATCTTGCAGCTGCACTAGAAAAGAATCAAGTAACAATCTGTAGGATGTCATGCGAATACTTCATCTATATATATATTCGTATTCTCGACTCGGCTAGGCATTAAAAAACCTTAGTATTTCCTACAATGACATTGAAGATGCAGGAGTACAGTATCTTGCAGAGGCATTGCAAGGCAATCAGGTAAAGTCGCTTGGAAATCCTTTTTTTAATCTAATTTTGCTGTAGTGACGCATAGACATTGACAAGACTGAATCTTCGAGAAAATCATATTTGCCATAGAGGAGCACAGAATCTCGCAGAAGCACTACAAAATAATCGGGTAATCTCCTTTAGATATAATGAAAATCGTTGAAACCTATATAGTCATTCGTTTTTCATAGGCGTTGGACACACTACAACTCGAAACGAACCAAATTGGTGATAAGGGGGTGCAACATTTTGCAGAAGCACTAAGAACTAATCGGGTAATATCAATTTAAAGGATTTGCAAAATCATCGTATCGTTCTTTTCCGTCTCATCACATAGGTCCTTAAGTTATTAGATCTTTCATGCAATAATATTGGTGTTGCAGGAGCACAGTATCTCGCACGAGCTTTAGAGAATAATAAAGTAATGTAGTGTCAAGTGTCACGTAAATACTCAAATCTATCAAGATTTTTGTTACCCTTATGTTAGATATTGGCAAAATTGAGTCTCCGGAACAATCTTATTGGTGATTTGGGATTGCAATATCTCGCAGAAGGCCTACATAATAACCGGGTAAAATTATTTCAAACAAAAAGGAAAATCATTTCAATCGATTCTTGTTTTGTACAGAGCTTGATAACCCTAGAACTTAACTCGAATAATATTGGCGATAGTGGACTAAAATATCTCGCAGAAGCATTACTGAACAATCAGGTAAAGTCGTTTCAATCGCTATGAACATCGTGCGAAGCTATCTTCGGTTGACTTTCTTGCAGGCATTGACAACACTCGATCTTAGTGAAAATCGCATTTGCGACGAAGGGGTACAATATCTTGCAGATGCACTACGAAATAATCAGGTAATACGAATTAGAATGTTTTGCTAAATTTGCATAGCCATTTCTGTCATTGCTTCATATAGAAATTGATAACATTGGATCTTCGAAAGAATAGCATTGGCCCTTCAGGAGTACAATATCTCGCAGAAGCACTGCGAAATAATCAGGTAGTTATGTTGCAAATAATATCTGTTTCTATCATTTATCTGCATATGTTTGCGGGCATTTCACAGACATTGACCACAGCGGAACTCGACTGGAATCAACGTGGTCACCCAGGAGTACAATATCTTGCCGAAGTACTACGGAATAATCAGGTAATACATATTGCTCGATTGAATGCTACGAGAATAATTCAAATATCTTTTTATCGTTATTTCATATAGACGCTGAAAGCACTGCTTCACGAAGATTCATCGATATAATCATCCATTGTGCTCGTTTTTGAGTTATTTCTTGCATCTTTTTTAAATCGGCATAAAGAAAGTTAGCTTTTACGAAAGAATGTAATTCAAGATGTACTCAAATACAGCATGAAAATTAATAATACAATCGTGGGATTCCAACGTGGGTGTGGCGTCTGCAGGAATACTTCTTCGCTTCACTAACACACACACCGGGCTTATCATATGACTGTTAAAATAAGACTCAAGACATCAGTAAATGATTACTTAAGATATAAGCAAATTCGATCAAGACTATTTGGCTCTGTTATTCGTACTTTTTCTACAGATCACTCTTATTACCCGTTGATTCCGCTGCTTTTGTAGAACATGAAATATAAACAAAATGAGCTTGCGGAGGCCCTATGATAGGCAATATGGCGCCATCTACATATTTAGTCAAAATCGTAATGTTGCTTGATGAATCTTGATTTTGTTGGGAAAATTGACAAAAAATCATCAGTTTTTGCCGATATACCATGATTTTGATGACAGGGGATATAGCTAATAGAGTAAGTTCAATGAATATCCGGAAATGTAGTCCTTGTTGCCCGGAGAAAGTTATATACGTTAGCAGAGCAATCTACTTTACTCAATATAATTGCGACAGGTAGAAAGAAAATGATTTTCATAGACATTTTGTTTTCAATGCTTCTTTGAGAATTGATTTTCCTCTCTATGTATTCAATTACTTTGTCACATACGATTAATCATAATATTGAATCAGGATGTAGCTCTTCAAACTCAATTTAGAGCATCTCCTAATGACGATACAACTGTTGTTTCTACAAAAAATAATTCATTTTGATCATGGCAAACACTTTACAACATATGTTGGGTATATGCAAGGATTAAGTTTTACACGTTACGGCTAACTCACAAGGTTAAGTGTGGCATCGAAAAGAAAACGTTTCGAAAACTAGAACAAAATTTTACTTAAGCATTTGAAACTTGATACTTTTCGATGTCTTAAGTTTATGATCTGTACAATTTCTAATACTTAACTGAATATATTTGTTAACGACAGACAAAGAATAGAGAATTTTTTCTCGTCAATGTAATCATAGGACCACCTACTGGTTGAGAAGTGCTGAGTGACGAGTTTTTTATTATTATTTTGATATATAAAAGCGAACAGTATAAAATATTACTCAACATGACATCAACAAGAAAAGAAAAGCTTTGTAAAAATCATAGAAAAGTAACATTTAATTATACGCTACAACCAATATCGAATTTGATATAGTCACACTAACTTCGACATGCATTATCCTAGTATTGCTCAGCCGACAGCTATCGGAACATGGCCGAATCCCTACCCGGTCAGCACTCAACAGCAAGCAATACCAACTGTATATTATCAAATGCCCACAACAACGGTTCCCATCATAACAAAACCTGAAGTTCTTGTTTCACAACAACAAATACCTACTGTTTACTATCAAACGCCGTCACTTAATTTTCCTTCTAATCCACCTACGATAAGTTCTCAAGTCAATATACCACAGCAACAGCCTCAGACTACTTCGACAACAACAATAAAAACAACTCGAACTCTTCATCCAACAGCAGACAGCAATACAGTTGCCGAAGAAACAAGTACTACATCCACTGTTACTAAACCTGAAATACCGGCAACACAAGCATTTGTTACTTCAGCAAGTGCAAGTGTTCCACAAGTAACAACAAGTAGACGTCCACCAACAGTTGAAACGACTACGACTGATGAAAGACCACAAATTCGAACTCGTCGTCTTCGCACTCTTTCAACATCAACTTGTTCCGATAGTTCGACAACTTTTTCACAGTCTACAATTACCCCGCAGCCTCAAAATATACTCCAGCCGACTGTTCTTCCACCGCAAATACCTATTCAAACAGCAAACATTGCGCCTATGCGTCGTGTAATACATCATGCACATCATCCGCCACGTACACCTAGCGGTTATTATTCATCGGACCTTGACTATGGAAAACGACGAGTTTACAAAACAGATTATAAATATCGTCATTATTATTGTTGCAATTGGTGTAAAGGTCGTTGCGATTTACGTAATCGTTCGTATGGTTGTTGTGAATGGTTTTATGGATGCCCTCTATGGGGATTGATTTTCTGTGGATTAGTGTTTCTTGGATTGCTCGTACTATTTTTTACTCTATTTGGTTTACAACCATCGATTAATTCCGCACGTCGTTCTGACACGGCCCAAACAGTTTTATTGAATCGTACAGAAATCATTTATGGATTTTACAAACTCTGTGGTTACCAAATCAATGCTGCATCAGGTACACCAACCACACTTATTCTATGTAATACTACCGCAACAACATCAACTGCACGCATACAATTGTCACCATTCTATACTGTAATAAGTGGAACAAATAGTTATTCTTTTAGTAAAATAGTCATTTTTCTTTTGATACTTATTCTTTTTGAACGTTTCCGCATTTAATAGCAATTCTTGAAATAATTACTTCTTTTGTATCCTGAACGTATTGACGTAGGTCTTGTGCTCGGTTACATTTGCTCTAGGACTTCCTAAACTTGAATTTAAAAATATCTTAAATCTTATTTTTTTGGTAGGCTACAAAATTCTAATTCTTATAAAAACGCGACGTCGTCTGACAAATATGTCTCTCATCCGGAAACCTTTTAATTTCCGAATTACTCAAATATATATATATATATTGGTAAACGTACACCCTAGAAAGATATACTTGCAAAGGTACTTTGTTTTTTGAAAATAATTTACCATTGAAGATGAAGTAGATAATCTTGAAACTCAAAGAAATGACGATACATTTTTAAAAAATGCTTCGCCTGTGTGACAAAGCAATTGGTTATTGACGATGACAGAAAGAGTACAGAGCGTGCAAAAACAAAAATAAGGCTCTCTGCAAATATATATTTACCCGCAAAATATTTGAATTACTACCTACGCAAGCGAAGAACTGTTATTGCATTACCTACCTTTATGAGTAGCGGTATGTGCGCATCAAATGTCATTTATAAGCGTGCGTTGTTTTCAAGTTTGATATTTATTTTTTATGAATTGATCTATCGGCATGGCAAACAATGCTTCGAATGCAGATGCTAATAAAACCAAGCGTGCGTTGCTCGTAGTCGATATTCAAAATGACTATTTTCCTGGTGGCTTATGGGCATTGTGCGATATGGATGCCGCAGCTGACAAGGCAGCTCGTGTTCTCGCAGCTGCTCGTGCCGCTGGTGATCTTGTTGTTCATATTCGTCACGAGTTCACCACCGCCGATGCACCATTTTTTAAGCCAGAGTCTCTTGGCGCTCAGATTCATCCAAAAGCGCAGAACTTAAAAGACGAATTTGTTGTGGTTAAACGTTACACCAATTCTTATCGAGAAACCAACCTAAAGGAAATATTAGATCGTCATGGTGTTAAACAGGTAGTTATTTGCGGTGCTATGAGCCAGAACTGTATCGATGCCGTGACTCGCGCTTCCTTTGACTTCGGATATGAATGTGTCGTTATTCACGATGCTTGTGCTACTCGTGACCTGGAATTCAATGGGATACAAATTCCAGCTAAATATGTACATGCTGCATTCATGGCTGCACTTCAATTTGCCTATGCCAAGACTGTCTCCACAGATGAATATCTTGCTGGCGGAAAAAAATAAAGCCTATAATTCAATCTTCCGACATATTTTCAAGTTACAACATTTTTTAGATATTTTCCTGTCTTGATTTTTGAATTCTTGGTTTTAAAGTTTATAATTATTATTAATGAAGATAATAACTATATGACATTTTTCTGCTAAATGCTCATGAATCAATTAGGATTTTGAAAAGAATACAATTGTTTCTTCTTTTATTCATGGCAATAGAGCGAAAGATGTCAAGCAAACGAATGGGTTAGTCTAGTTCAATGCATGTTTACTTTTAGATAGAAATTGAACTTTTGTTAAGATAGTCATCAAATACACAATGAATACCAAAAGGATAAAAAAACAACATCTAAAAGGAAGCAGTTCTTTGTGACAAATAACCTGGGCATTCTGATTAGAAGATAGAGCTCTCTGGCATTCAAGTATTGACTTTGAGTTGACTTAAGTGAAATGAATAGATAGAAAAGAAAATTAGCCTGGAATTTATTATCAAGTCCGTTTAAATGTGCTTAACAAAATTGTTACTTGCGCATGTCTAAGAAAATGACGTCGATCTTTTCTATGGAGAGTATAATAATGGTGAGATTGATTTTTTACATCTATTAATGCTTAGATACAATCCAGGGTTGCCAGCCGTACCGCATTTGAGCCTTTTGTACCTCTGAGGTACGCATTTTGTACCCCATCTGCATTTTTCAATGTTACGACTACTATCATCCATATTTTGGTTGAAACTAAGAAAATTTCTGTCTCTTTATTCGACATTTACTATTGATAAAGATGTGAAGCGTCAATTATAATGGTTGGGTGCTAATGGTCATCTTTATGAAGAATTCAACAATGACATATGCAACGAGTCCCATGATGAAGATAATCTCATTCACAAACTGACGACCGAAAATCATGAAAGAGAAGTGGAATTTCGGCCTGATCAATTTTGGGCTTTTCTTTTTGTAAAGTCGAAACCAATGTGTATTGAAATGTACAAAATTATTTCTTATGTGTACTCAATTCCTTGCTCGAATGCATTTGTTGAAGGCGTTTTTAATCAAAGAAAAAGCGCATGGACAGCCAGTCGTAATTTGACAGTGAATGAAACGATAGCTGCTGAATTGAAAATCAGATTTAATAGTACTATGACATGTGAAGATTTTTTTCTTTTGCTCAAACACAACCGCAACTGATAAAGTGTGGCAAAAAGCAACAAAAATACAGTTTCGAAAAAAGGCTGCAACAGTTAGTGTAAATATAAATCGAGAAGGTTCACTTTGAGTAAGCATTGTTTTATTATGATTGAATTGAATATATGTATGACAAAATGAAATTTTATTGTGAACATATTTATTAGAAAATAAAGATTTCAATTTGAAAGCTAGACTTTATAGTAAAACGAAAAACTGAGAATGCCCCTTCCTGATTGAAAATAGTTTTCGAAATTGATTTCCGCAGTCGATGATCAGTGTGAAAGATGTAAACTGCGTACCTCATGAATGTACCCCATTTACAACTGAGTTGTACCTAACGTGTACTCCATTTGGGACCTGAACAGCTGGCAACCCTGATACAATCGTTGATGAAGTAGACTTGTATGAATTTCATAACGATCGATTTTGATTGGCTGGTCGATAGACTGATTCGTCTAGTGTATGACATATCCACTTGCCCATTAAGCGTTAATTAGTTCCTTGTAAACAAATTTTATTTACAGATTGTAGAAAGATATCAACTGAAGAAATAGGTACAATTAAAATAATCAAACGAGTAACAGTCACGAAATTTCTATTGGCTATTACTAAAATTACTCTTGCAAAAAAAGAAACTGAAATTATTTCAATAAATGAAAGATTCCGATCGCTAATTATAATAATTTCCAGTACGATCTTTTCCCTCTAAATCAAAATCAAAATAATCTGTCGTATCTACAAGCGGCGAAAGAAAATATAAAGCGGTCTTCGCATCGAAGAATTATTTGTAAATAAAATAAACTGATGAATTAAAAAACAAGTTTTTACATTCTACATCGATGATTTTTCAGATATAGAATGAACATGTTGTATTGTGGCTGTTCGTAGAATTGAAATTCTTGCAGTTTCAGTTTCATGTACAATGTCCTCATCGTATTCCTCTTCAATATTATATGCCTCATTGTCATGTACAGTAGTATCGATAACATTGACAGTTTTATCTGGTTCATAGCGCGTACGAATAGCGCACCAGAGTACACTTACATGACACGCTACAAGAACGATAGCCACTAGGACCACCATTAAAATAGTAGCTCGGTGATCGACTGAAGCAGAGCCATAACTTGTTAGACAAATATTACATGGCATATCATCCGTCACATTCATGATATTTCGTATAACTGATTACGTACGTCAGAATAGGAAAAAGTATACAAGAAAAACAACGAAGATTTCAAACGCATTCTCTAAATAGAATGCATGCTTGTGAATAATTATTTATATCGATGTAACATTCATGACGAGAGAGAGAAGGTGATCAAAACAAATGAAGAGAAGCACAACGGAAAAAATATTTGTGTGTTTTTTTATACAGGGGTGGCAAAATTGTAGCCCCCCGCCCTATATCCCACACAAAAAAATTAACTTTTTGTTTTCCATGTGAGCCTATTTATTGATTTGATATAATTATTCAACAGATCTATATATGTGATGCATTAAGATGTGATTACTGCTTTTGCTCTTCTCTGATATACGTGCAGAAATGAAGAGGAGGAGAGCGATGCTGTGGCACAATTATAGACCTACGAGCGAAAAATCCATATTTTCCTCGTTGAAAGCACATATAATCTTCAACTTTGATATAGTATCACATTACTATTTGCAATCTATCGTTCCTGCTGTATTTGGCGTCTGATTAGGTTAAAATCTCCTGATTTTCGGCATTTCCTAGTCTTATTCAGTCAAGAGATTATATTTTCACGATCCCTTGTCAAATGGAAACTTAGGAACTAGAAGTAACGTCTCGAACTAACCCCATTAGAGTCGAAATCATGCCAAAAGAAATGAATTTCAAAAGAATTTCCCGTCAAAAATCAAGTACGCTCTTGTTTTTGTAAAAAATTCCACAGAAAACTCTAGAGTATGGGCATCATGCTAACTCAAAAACTAAAACAAGCCGCATAGCTGAAAAGGGCGCATCTTGCTCTACTTGAAACAGTCAAAACTTTCTTTAAAACGTTAGAACTTTACATATGATATTAACTAATTGCCATAGTATACTGAAAATGGAGATAAACAAAATCCGTTGCCCGCGCTTCATCACAACGTTTAAATTAATTTCTCTCACTTTCAGAGTAGAATACATATTCACTATTAACAAAAAATACGTCAATTCTGTCTGACTTCCCTATGGATTATTCTAGTGACGCTGCATTGGCAAGAGTCATTTTCACTATGCTACGGCAATTAGTAAATATCATATATGTCAAGTTCTAACGTTTTTAAGAAAGTTTCCTTCAAATAAATTTTGACTGCTTCAAGTAGAGCAAGATGTGCCCTTTTCAGCTATGCGGCTTGTTTTAGTTTTTGAGTTAGCATGATGCCCATACTCTAGAGTTTTCTGTGGAATTTTTTACAAAAACAAGAGCGTACTTGATTTTTGACGGGAAATTCTTTTGAAATTCATTTCTTTTGGCATGATTTCGACTCTAATGGGGTTAGTTCGAGACGTTACTTCTAGTTCCTAAGTTTCCATTTGACAAGGGATCGTGAAAATATAATCTCTTGACTGAATAAGACTAGGAAATGCCGAAAATCAGGAGATTTTAACCTAATCAGACGCCAAATACAGCAGGAACGATAGATTGCAAATAGTAATGTGATACTATATCAAAGTTGAAGATTATATGTGCTTTCAACGAGGAAAATATGGATTTTTCGCTCGTAGGTCTATAATTGTGCCACAGCATCGCTCTCCTCCTCTTCATTTCTGCACGTATATCAGAGAAGAGCAAAAGCAGTAATCACATCTTAATGCATCACATATATAGATCTGTTGAATGATTATATCAAATCAATGAATAGGCTCACAATGAAAACAAAAAGTTAATTTTTTTGTGTGGGATATAGGGCGGGGGGCTACAATTTTGCCATCCCTGTCTGTTTTATGATCATGGCATGGAAAGAGAATACACAAACTATTTATATTTTAGTTTCCTTTATTTCGGTTGTTGTTTTTTCTTCAAAATAATGATTGAAAGCGTAACTATTCGTTATTGAAAAAGACTTTCGATTCGTTCGTAAGGCATCTAGAAGAAAAAGTAAATTAAAGATCTATAGAAATTATGCGCAATCTTACATAAACAGATTCTTCATCGTCATCATCATTATTAACTTCATCGATTGGTGCGTTGTCATATTGATATGCTTTCTGCAATTGTAAATTATCGAATGGCATATAATTTGCTTCTGGTAGAACTGGAAAACGAAGGTAACCATCGTCATCGCCATCGTCATCATCAGACAAAGAAAATGGACCTAAATAATTAATTCAATAAAATCGTTGACGAATAAATTATCAACTTTGTCTTTTACTTTGATTTTCATTATTTTCAATAGCATTCGCGTAAGCACTATTCCATTGAGGCGAGTCATAAAAATATGGAGCAAAATCTGCGCGCACATTTCGTTCATATGTAGGCGGGTAGACACTAGCAAGTAGACGTCATCAATTAAATAGGTATTAATAATTAAATAAATTCTTACGCATAAGCTCGACCTGGACTGGCGTATTGTTGGCGTTCAACTAATGCTTCGTACAACTAAAATAATAATCATATGAATAAAATTCTATCTTTTGCATGTTTTCCCTAAAGACTTGATATCAATCATCACTCAGAGTGTAGTTTAAGTCCATCTTATTCTCGCACTTTAATTCAATTCCAAAAAAAAAACAACCAAAGGAAATAATTGCCAAGTCTTGTTGTGAATAAAAATTCTTTACTTCGGAAGTAATTAATTAGAAGAAAAACATCTTTCTCATTACCGGGTCAGTATTATATAAGTTGTATAGTGACAGAGATCGCTTATTTCGTTGATTAGATGCTGAATTTAAATTGATACTACGGCGTTTTCGCGCAAGATTAATGTATTCATCTGGATTCATGATGATGTCAGTAAAGGCATTTGTCTTGTCTGTATCAACTGATTCTAAGAATAGCAAAGTATCGTTAAAAAAGATCCCTACGGTTTCGCAAAATAAAACCTACTATCTCGATTATCGTAGATTTTCTTTGGCCATTGTTTTATTTTCGGGTAGAATAAATCTTCCGGAGTATTTTCATCATCTAAGAAATCACCGAGACGTTCATAGTTATCAATTTGACGTTTCTTCTTAATATCGTTGATCCCATGGGCTACGGTAGTCGTGTTTGCTGAAACAGGAGAGCCGGTAGATGTTTGACTAGCCGAAATTATTGATGGTTGTATGAGTTTGGCAGAGCGCTCTGCCGTCTTTTGAGATGATAGAATACCTAAAAGAAAAATGAATGACTTATGATTAGGGCGCAAAAGAAAATATTTTACCATCACTAATTGATTTAACAGGTGCCAATTGAACAATACTAACTATGCTCACTATGAATAAACCCAATACGACTGAGAATATTTTAGAAATCATCTAAAACAATTTCTATTTTATTACTATTTGTTTATGAAGATCGTTAATTTGAAAATGTGTAGAGAATCAGCCAGAAGTAACAGTATATATATATTAAAAGCAAGAGAGAGAGGGACTAAGAAAAGTTTCTCATCATTTATTGTGTCTTCATCAAAGACATTATTAGTAATGTAGAAGCACACATATTTTTTCCTTTATTTTATATAAGTCACTGTTACGCTTACGAATGCATTCAGTAGGCGAACGAGATTCTTTCTGCTTGGCTGTTTTATCGCTTTCTATCCTACGCCAGGGCAACTACTAGAAGCTAGAGAATGAGCGTTTCAATCTACGTTCAGATTATAATCATACTCTATCATAGAAAGGTGGGTTGCCGTTCGTGCGTTGTTTTTCTTTTTTCCTTTATATATATATATTCTCATTTCTAGTTCGAGGAGAAAAATATTTCTGTACCCATTTCTTCATATCATGATTACGATTAGTCGGCAACATGACATGTAACATAGAATTTTTTTTGTAGAAAAGAAGAAAAAAGAAAGATAAATTAAAGAATGCATCAAGGGTTCAAGTCGACTTTCTATGATAGAAATAATTATAATATAATCATATAGAAAAAAGATTTGGCGTATGACAGTTGTCCTCGATAAAAACTTATCGTCTACTTGACTAATATTTACATACTTAGTTATAAAGGATTTTTTGGCCTTCTGCTTTTTTTTAGCAATATCTGTTTATATTTCTGTGGATAATCCTACGCTCCCCGTAAAAAAAAACAGAGTATTTATATTCGAACTGACTCACAGCAAACTTTTGTTAGGCTATATTTCGAGGCTTTCTACATTTTTATTTTAATCTTCGTTGAACGGTAAGCGCAATAAGCTTCGTGTGCTTAGTTCATACTGAATATTCTTTCAGTAGGGATTCGCAGCTGCTTGGCCATCAGGACGTTGTTATTTTTGTCGATTATGAGAATCCCGATCGTACTAATTACAGAAACCGAATATCGCGTTCTTCTATTCAATAGACTGTAAAGAAAGAGGCGAGTAAATGTCATCGACGTGAACAGTATTTCTACGACGGCGTCTTAATAATGCACAATCTGCATGATGAACTTTTTTGTTCTCAAAATATGATATATAATTTAGCTGAGATAATGTATCTCTTAAATATAAATTTTTAACAACAGGCTTTAAATACTATTCATTAGAAGGCAACTCTTTTAAGTATATTCTCTTTTCTATAAAAGAATATATCATTAAGATCTACTTGAGAACTAGCCTGTATTTATCAGGGTAGAGAGCAAAGTCTAATATGAGTGTTCATGGTTCCCGATTACTTTTGGAAGTGAAGGGGGCTAAATTTTGGCAGAAACTATATTTTTTTGGCAGACAGTATACGTCAAAAAGCAAATCCTTGATTTATAATATCATCATCTAGCTTAGATGATCTAAGTTCATTTTAATTAAAAATAAGTAAAAACAACATATGTATAAAAAGTAATATTTAAAAATGTTTTTCAAAACTCATCATCTTTCTGTTTCAATTGATCAGATTCAAGAAATAATGTTACATTTTGTTGCATCTAATGTTACTGTACTTAAATTTGACTGTTCTATATTTCTTTTCAATTCATAATATTTGCAATCAATCGCTGTTTGTGACATGGCATGAAATTGCCGACAATGATCTTTCCAGTTTTTTAGAAGCATTGATTTTCCACAAATAGGACACTTTACTGTACAACTAGTTGTATGAACTATTTTTGAAATCATATTTAAAAAAATCCGAAATTATGTCACATATAAATATCATCTCATGATACTCAGTTTTCGTCAAAGCGAACGGTTATCACCACTTCGATGCGGTTTCTCTACGTTTATCATTTTTNTGTTGCTTTCTTTTTGTGTGTACTCAAAATACGTGAGTACGCTCTATATTCGGTCCGGCCGTTCTGCCGTTAGCACGATAACCTATGAAAGCCTTATCCAATTGTCATGAAATTTTGTGCACATGAGGATCTCATTAATATCTCAGTCGAGTTCGAAGATGAGAAGGATCTATCAAGAAATGGCTGAGCTATTGAAAACATTGCCAGTATTGACCAGAACATCCCTGAGGGGGGGGGGGGTACAGGGTTTTTTACAAAAAAAAATCTTTTTATTTGAATTATTAAAAAAATNAAGAAATGGCTGAGCTATTGAAAACATTGCCAGTATTGACCAGAACATCCCTGAGGGGGGGGGGGTACAGGGATTTTTTCAAAAAAAAATCTTTTTCTTAGAATTATTCAAAACATATATAAATCAACTCAGTTTTTGCAGTACACATAACAATCGAATGAGAATCCGATGTTTCCTCATTTTTTTTGTCTATGAAGATTTTCACAGAACGACTAACATCGCTTATCGAACCATCTTGATTAATTTTTCTCGAAAAATGTTTTTTAAAATTATTCGAACAATCTCATTTGTAAAATATGTAAGTTCTTATTCATCCGTATAAATCGTAAAGGAAATTGAACTTCTAGGCTGTATGATATATGAAGTCCGCTTTTACGTATATCATATGCTTGACATATTCTATGACGATGTTCGTGCCCTGAAATAAATTAAATGAATTTAATATTATTTTTACTTTAAAACTCATCGTTCAATGATTTAATATTTAATATTAATTGGAATGAATTGACCTTAGCTCTTAATATAAATGCTTTACATTCAATAAAATAAAGGTAACAGAGTTGACATTAGAGGTGTCAGGTTAGCATTAAAAGTGAAAATAATACATTGCTTTATTTCTCCAGGAAAGTTGATGAATAATAAATCTTTAGAATTAAAAGTAATATCGATGTTAAGAATGATAAATTAGTGAATGAATTCGCATTAAGTATTTTCTTTACCATAATACGCCAATGCATTATTTTCATTTTTAATGCTAACCTGACACCTCTAGTTGACATATTTCGCAGATTATTATTTAAACATAATTAAATATTTTAAATGGCGTGCGTCACTATGATGACAACTTAGTCAGCGATTGGCTTGCTTTGTTAAACATCTATTTTTGTGTCACACAATTTCGAGACCTGCGAAAAATATTTTTTATGAATTACAACAACTTTATTTTGTTGTCAAAGACGTAGATTTAAACATAATACTTTCAGATATAACTTCGTAATTCAAAAACAAGAAATACTTGAACTGAAATAAAACCATTAATCCAAATTTTTATACCGAGGGTTTCTTAATTTCGTAGTTAGTCATGCACTAAATAGTTTGTCTCGCTATATTCGTTTTTTTCCTAGACGTTAGAAATATCAGTAATCAGTGAGACATAAGTCTGTGAAATGCGTAAATGATATTCTAAGAAGATTTTCAATAGACAGGAAGACTAATAAAACAAAATCGACACTAATTCACTTGGCTTAATATTATTCTCGGTTTTCTCATTAGAAAAAAGCTTTCACTTGAGTTCTTCTAGAAAACTCAGCCAATCAATGTACTTAATACTGCTGAAGCAAAGGTCAACAAGGGGCTTATCATGTAAGTAAGCTTATAATGCATCACGATAAAGAACAAGATTGTTAAGTTACTTTATTATCAGATTATATAAATTCTAAACTAAAAAAGTGTGGAAACTTCGGATTTCATCCGAGAGTTATGTGTATTGCAAAAAGTGCATGGGACATATGAGTCATTCTAGAATGTCTGAACACCAAAATTATCATGAGAAACTAGGCAATTTGATTTCTGGATGCAGTTTTTGTGCATTTTGAGACGTTTTCAGGCGGTGTTNAAAATTTGTTTTTAAAAAACAAATCCCTGGCCCCCCCCCCCCCTCAGGGATGGTCTGGCCAAAAATGACAATTTTTTCGATAACTCAACCATTTCTTGAGGGATTCTTCTCATCTTCGAACTCGACTGAGACATTGATGAAGCTGAACTGTGTGGAAAATTTCATCATGATCTAACTCTTCTTTCGAAAATTATCGTGTAAACGGACGGACGGACATACTGACCGATTCTAGAGTGTACTCACTTTTTGAGTACACAAAAAGCAGATCTTACTGAATGAAAATTTAACAAGTCAAAAGGGCATCGAGATATTCGCAGAACATAATAATGATACAAAGTCGAATAAAAGCAACAGTTCAATTCAATTTTCTTTGAATGATTCCGACGAGATAAAATATGTATGATAATAGAATATGCTTTATATCAATTTAGAACGAGACACCCATTAAAGATAGTATTCTCTTATTTTTCTAGAAAATTTCACCCATTTGCTTTGTAATTAAAGTCATTGATAAAATGTCCTAAAATACAGATTTGTTGTCCATCTTGATATTATATGTTCTAATTAATAATTTAGTCTATGCCAATTATCATCACGCAAAGGCAGTGTGGCAACAAGGAATGTCACTTAAACATGAAGAATGCTTCACTCAAGCGGAAATATAACTACGCGCTAATTTTTTTCTATTATAAAATACTTTTAATCGTCTGACATTTTGAAGTAGAATGTCTATGCTAATTAATTTCGTTTTAAATAGTACGATAAATCTGACCGCAAAAAAATCTTTACCGAATATGTCATGCTCGCTCCGTGTATGCAAGTCTAAAACTTTGATTTTGTTCGAAATCAGGATTTATAACAACCTGGAAATCGTAAGAATTAAAATCTATGAACATAACCAATCTTTACGTGCGACTAAAGTTCGAAGCAAACTGATGCGGACAAACTTTGCAATTGAGTTTAGATGATTTCAATAGAAACCGGAGACACGCGAAATGCTCTGCAAGCATGAGCTGCAAACGAAGCTTCTGAATATTTCTCAAGGGCATAAAATTCTTCATTTATTATCACAGTCGCTTACTTCTACTTAAATTCAATGATTTACAAAAGAGCGGATATTAACCAGACAGATGGCGCACAGCTTGTATGCTTTCATATCCGGAGTTAATATGATATCGTCGTGAAATATGGAAAATAAAATTTAGGTTAAAACACTTCTGATATTTTTGCGTTCTTAAATTACGAGAAATAAGAAATGACCAACATTCCTAAAATATCGTTTTTTCTATTCCGTCTTAAACAATGCCATAAGTCGAGTTTTATCTGTTTCGATGGCATCATCTTACAAACTTTGTTGAATGTGGCTTAATATATTAGTCAATACACGCATATTGTTATTAATAGATCGACATAATCATTTCAGGTTGCTTACGATAGAACACCGCTGCTTAGTTTTTTTGTGATATTTACACGTGACCTGACTTTTTATAAAATAGAAAAAAAGATATTCTGTGTTCCATTTAATTTCTCGTCGTGTTTCAACTCAAACGTTAAAAGTCGAAAACATTTTTTCTTAAATTAAACAAAATTATGATTTTAAAGTAAGCTGTTGTCGTCGAACTTTTCATCTATACGTACCGTAAAAAAGACGTTTGCTGCATAAACAAATTCTCAATTACTAAAATATATTTGATGATAAGCGCATCACGTTTTCAGTATGACTAAACTGCTTCCACTTTCTAATTTGTATTTTGTATTTTAATCATTTATGTTTGACTTTGAAATTGAGCATTATCCGTACATGTGAGTCGACAAAAATTTTCTTCCGTCAGCTCGTTTTTAAGCCAAACTCATAGAATGGCGTCGTCTGAGATCGGATATTTCATCAATATGAAGTTTCACTCACTCCCGGCTAATGAGATCGGGCATATTCCATTCAAATGAAAGATACTTCTGCCAAACTAACTAATTTAGAATATTAATTGTTCATATAGTACAGGTAGTGAAATGATCAAATCTCAATGTGCCTACAGGCTATGTCATGAGCATACACTTGAGAATTTCAGCATCATTGATTTCATTAATTTTCTTCATGGTTTGATAAAGCTCGATGATTATCATCAGCAAAAGAATGTATCATGACCAGGAACAAAACAACAGCAGCGTAGATGTTTGCGTATGACTCATTGGTTAAAAGTCATACAATCTGGTTTTTTTATTAAGTAGAATAGAATTTTTTCTAATGAATCTGAATCTAAACTTCATGAAATTTCCAATTATCTATGTAAATGGCATACGATGTAAATACTTTAGAATTGGAATATGTTACTCTGTCTACACTAAGAGCAGAAGCTTATTTCAATTAGTGTTTGGTTAATAGGATGAGTAACTATCATTCGACATGAATACGACCAAACTCTAGGAGATCTTTCGCTGCAATTAGTGAAGAAAATAACAAACTCTTATTATGTTGTCTTTATAATTCTTAACAAAAATATCCAAACTGACAAATTTGTTGCTGTCTTGAGTATCTTCCGGTTTTAATGACGTGAGAGAGAATTCACTCAATAATTCCTGATCGAGATTTTGTGTTCAAAAGAAGAATGTTTGCTGAAGAGCCTGATCTGAAGTAGATTTACCACAAGATTCAGTTTATTTCCGAAGCAAGCAACTTCAAAGTTTTCTTTAAATAAAATACTAGAATAAACAGGAGCTAAACTCTATTGCTAATCCACGAATGAATTGCACCTTTCGCAGTGTTTATTTAAAGAACTGTGCAATACGATTGAAAAGCAGTAAGCCGTTATACAATAATCATGTATGTTTGTTCGAATTCAAATGCAACTTGATTAGGAACAATCCTTTTATTTATCTATTTCTATAAAAACGTATCCAAAAAGGCACACGAGAAAAAAGTTGACACTATGCATACTACCGAAACATGACTAGGAATACAAAAATATACAAAAAAAAATCTATGGCGTCCGTCAATTCAAATACAGTCGGCATTTACTGGTACCACAATGACAAGGAATTTTGATATCTTCTTCAGCAAATGAATAATCGTAGGTTAATTCGGAACCGCGAGCTATATTCATGATAGCATAGATAACAATGTGTTTAATACCACCGGAAAGAATAGTTTTAGCAAAGCAGTTTGGCTAGAAAAATAAAGCCATTCGAATGAGATCAATTTAAATTTGTCTTACCTGGCAATTATGATTAATAAAACGAGCTTTATTTCCTTGTTGTGTTGCATCGATAACACTCATGGAATCAACAGTAAACATATAACAACCAAAACCCTATGAAAAGCGAAAAACAAAAATACAAACCGAAATTTGTTAGTTTTTCTTTGTGTATTACTTTTTTTTCGTTTTCAAGTTCACGTTTATCTGTAAGACAGGGACGAACAGCTTCACCTGTATATTCAACAATCATTTGTCCTTCAACTAGATCAATTAATGTAAATAAACCACAGCCATGTATAGACGATGATCCAACAATCAATACACGTTCAGAAAAATAATGTAAATGATGAAGACGTAGACGAACCGAAGATTCTTGAAGAAGAATTCGTCTGCAGAAAAAAAGAAAATATTCTCCTATCAATCAATGAACTCTTCTTTAAACACGAAAAATTTTGAAAAGCAAAGCATGATGCAACTAATTCTGATAATCATAGGGCGCCTATGATGAAGATCTTTAAATAGCATCAATCGGAATTTGCATTCATCTCTTCGTCGGTAGATGTCGCAAGAGACACTTATTATACACAATCAACGGCCTATCCCGAAAATAGATATCTCCGCTTTCGATAGTTTACCTTGCATGTGCAAGTGCATCGTCGATTTCGAATGAGTTCAATGCATATTCAATCTTTCGATTTGGATTTAACAGCCAATTAAATCGTTGGCGTTGAGAATTTTTTCTTTGATAAATGTTTAATCTTGAATTTGATGATGGAATTTTTTTAGTTGAATTTTTTTTCTTTATGAAATAAGTTGAGTCGTTTTTATTCGATGATGACAATGGCAGTAAAATAGTATCGGATTGTTTTTCGATTGACGATGAATTTAAATACAATTGATTCAACATTATTTTCACGATTGATTTTGTTAAACCGAATATTTGATGTCCATTTAATTCGTCGTTTCTCATTGGTAAATGAGTTAAATTCATATCGTCACGACATTCACGCACTAGATTAACAATTGTTAGCCAAGCTTCATCTAAATCATCTGACACTATTTTGTATCCATCATCACTGATGATTGTGAATTGTACACGACCAAATTTTGATATTAGCGATTGTTGATATAAACGAACGAGTTCATCAGCTGGAAGATAGTTGATTTTTCCAGTCACATTATTCGATAGAGAGTTAGGAGATTTTTCATTTTGTATTTGCTCAATTAAACAATTTATGAGAGAAGAAGACACTAGAAAATCTTCATCATCGATATTTCCGTCTACTTGTGGAATGCACGTTTCTGTTGAGTGATTGGGAACAAAAATCGTCGATGCCGGTTCTGAAATAGGAGGAAAATTTATAAGTCATATGATGAACAAAATCTTCTTAATAGACCCCAGCAACTAGATTAGGTTACTATTACAGATAGTAGTGCATAGGTAATATCATAACTAACTACAGATCTTTGAACTGAAACAGATTTGTACGTAGCCTATGAGAGTCATAAGCATAAATCTGAGTTCTACATTCTAGAGGCTGTGCTAATAAGCTTTTTCATTTATGAAATCCTACCATTGGACTGTTGGATTGGATTTATATTTTGAAATAGCTGGTCTAGCAATGCATCATTGGTCGTGTCTGTTGTTGATTCGTTGAATGATCCACTTGCTGGATTCGGTAGATAATAGCTGAAGATAGGCTCTTGTTGTTGTCTATAAAGTAAATAGAAATGCGAGAATAGGAACAAAAACAATATTTATTTTATAATATACATTTTTGTTGATGGTGATGATTGGTCGACATTTTGAAGCGCTTGTACAAGTGCTAAAGCGAATCGTGAATGATCTGATGATTTTAAAGAATCATTAGTAAATAGATTTCGTAAAGTTCTCGCATCGATGGACATCGTTTGAGAATTTTCTTCTGATGGAATTGACGAAGATTTTTTTAATTGAAGGTTATTCTCGTTATTGAATTTAGTTTTTGTTCGCATGAGATTTTTAGATGTGGGTTTCGATGGTTGACTTTCGATAGATACAGATGGTCTTTCAGCTCTGGTATGAATAGCTGTTCTTTTAGAATGTTCGTTTGCTTTGAATCTTTGAAAATATTGTTCACAGACTTCATATAATTGTTTCAGATGTATTTGTTCGGCGGACAACGGATGTTCAATAGTCCGATGATTTGATTTATCATTATGATAGGTCTGTTCGATTTCTATGTGTAAATGATAGATGGTCTTTTGTTGAGCATTTTTCGTGCTCCAAAATAAACGTGATGCATGATATTTATTTGGGTAAATATTCATATTCGTATCATTTTCGAGAAGATAATCAAAATTGCCAAGAGATTTTATTTGTAGCGAGCCAACACAAAGTTTTATATCAGCTAAACAGAATTCAACGAGATTATTTGATAGATCAGCGTAGACAGTCGATGATAAGTTAATTGATTTCAATTTTCGAAGATCGATATCGTCTAAATTTATAGTTAGAAGATTTAGTTTAAACGGAAGTTAAAGTTTTAGTAACGAAGTTCCTGTCCGATAGCAATCTCTTCGATCTAATCACTCTACACTAGCACAGAAAAGAACAATACGCAACTGTTTACTGTATTCGTAGATTAGTCGTGAAGTAATACTTGATGATATCGCATAGTAGATTCTAAATATAATCTTAGGATTTGTTAAATCGTTGGAAACTATTGACTTTTGTCATTTATTAAACCACTGAATTTACTACACAGAACAAGTACCAAACAATAGGTCTCATTGATGTTAAACGGTGAGGAAAATTTTCAATTGAAGCGAATTCTTCCTTGCATCGATATTGCATATTGAAGAAAAGCCAATTTTTAGAATGTACCCATTTTTCTCAACATGCGACATATCGAGAAGGAAGCATATGACCTTCGTTCATCGATAAGATCTATTGCTAGACAAAAGATCTCTTAGTCACGTTCTACTCTCACCTGATCCTATTCTATACAGATCAAAAAAATATTTTCCTGAAATACCCAAGTTCCACGTACCGTTAATCACAGGTTCATCTGTTTGATGATGATCATCTCCATCTGAGTTATTTTTCATTTTCTTCCTACAATGTTTCGAACATAGAGTTGTTAAATTCGGCAATAAACCATTAACAATACTAAATTTTTCTTGTAGACTTCGATCGATTTTCGAATAATAAATTTGAATACAATGACAATGAAAACGTGCATTGCAATCGTTTTCATAGCATGGCACACTGGCGCCCATTTTTAGACAAAGTTCACACTTATATCTTGTTTGACAACGATTGATTGTTTCATGAATGTGACGTAGAATGTATGGAGATTGATCAAGAGCTTTTGTATAAGCTGGAAGTATGCAACCAATATGTACCCATTGATTGATGCCAGTAGATATAAGACGAGATATATTCGATGAAAAATGATCAGCATATGTTTGGCATAATTGGCAAAGTCTCGTATCAATTCGGTATAAATTTTCAAATGGATATTTATTTTCAATTTTATTATCGATGTAACGTAATAATGAGTCGCTGGATGTTAATAGATTGTTTTTATATAAATTTGATTGGCATAGAAGGCGTTCTCTATTCAATGAATATGTATGATCAATGGATGGTGATGGTAAACAACGGTTTGGTAATATACTGCAATTATTCAATGATGTGTTCGTTGTCGAAGAATACAATGTTGTGTGCGTTGAAGATAAATTTGTAGGTTTAAACCATGGACATTGAGTATTTATACAATTGTTTATTGCTGCTTGCCATTGACGATTATCGAGATTTTCAAGTAAACGTTGCACAATTATAAGTAGATCATTTATGAAAGCATGAAGATTTAAGGAGTGAATACGAGATAGATGTAATTGCTGGAGATTAGACATGTAATGTTGCATAGCATTTAAACGATTGTCTTCACATATCATGATGTTTAATGTTGATGTTACGCTTCCGATCGTATTTTTCACGACTAAAAATAAAATATTTTTTTATTGAGTTTTCTTTCATATCTTGAACGTGAAAGTACATCCCTCAAAAATTTAATTTGGACAGTACTAGAAAGAAAGAAAGAATATCCTTGCCTTGCGGCTACCTTTCAGTATAGGGAGTTGTCCGGAGACAGTTTCGAGAGCCCGATATTTTTCCTACAACTATTACTAGCTGCAGCTCTGGACAGAAGGCCGGCCTGACTCAGAGTTCCTTCCGCTTAATTACTTAAGCTTTCCATGCATACTGACTAACCACATACTATCCATGAGGATATTTTTTATGTATGTCACATGTAATCAGCGTGCTATCGGATGGGTGATCCGAGACAAAACAGCCGTTAGTAACTTGTCCAAGGTTATTCTATGGATGATGGCGCCGAGGTTTGAACACACTATCTTGTGGATATGTGCCGAAACATCTTAACCATTCAGCCATAGCGGCTTACTACTAGTAAAAAGTTGGGTTTCTGAAAATAGAATGTAAAAACAAGTATTTTCTCTTGTATCGGAACGAAAATTCCGAGGACCAACTTTAACTGGTACAATTGCAGAACGAGAGAGTACTCTTGAAAGGCGATATTTATCTAAGTGTTGTCATAAATATCTCCAATGCCGGCTCTTTTTTTGCTATAAAGTTACTCGCTAGCTGTATTTTAATAAATTATCTACTTGTAAGAGCCAATATTTTTCTGCATATCTATCAAAAAGAAAATAATCACATCGTATTCAACATACGGCGGTTCGTTCAATCCGAAGGATGCTTTGAATTTCTGTTGGCGCTAAAATAAAACGTCTAAAAATCGCAAACTTATATCTCGATGGCCACTGTCTGCAGCCCATTGGATAGAACCCGATGGGCTCTACCGTTGCGAGAACAAATGCATCTACTTCCACAACCTCGTGTAGCTTAGCTAACTTCTTCTGTAATGTAATCTGTTAGTCGATCTAAGTGCATCTGACATTAGACAATGACATTCATATTAACTTCTGAAAGTACAAGCAAAAAAATCGGATTTTCGAAATCAATCGCTACACAAATCATTGACACGTGACATCTTAGAGGTATTTCGCACCTCCTATCATCTACTCTTGTCTACGCATCTATTTTATTTTTCAAAAAAAATGAATAAATGGATACAGGAAATAGCGAAGCTTATTGAGACAAATAATATCACTAAATTTCCCCGTCGGAAAAATTCACATATACTCAATAAAACTGTAGTATTAATAAATATACAAATATTCTTTGTACTATTCTCTCTTATTTTAATCACCTTGAATTTTATGATTAATGAGCGTCTTTTGAATATTTTCTTTTTGATCATAGTCACATTTTGAACAAATAACATTTGCCGATATGTTTTTAATATACGGTATTACCAAAACATCTTCATTTAAATATCCATCACATTTCGGATGAAAACGATGTTTACATTTAACACATTGTAACAAATTGTTGACTTTCGGTTTTGATTGATTGCCAATTAATGTTAAAGAAAATAATGGTTTAGGTTTAGTTATAAATTGTTCAATAAATTTTTCACACAAATTACATTTTTCAATTCGATTTGCTTTATTTGTTCGAATTATTTTCATATTATTTAAACAATCGACACACATAAGTGATTGCTGAGATGAAACAGATTTTGCCAATGATAAAATATTTTCTTCATTCGATATCAATGCTTGTCCACAATCGCATTTAATGCACGACGGACAAAACCATATTTGATTACGAATATTATGATATGATTGTTCATCTTTCGTTTGTTTTACACATTTCATATGAAAAGTTCGTTGACAATCAGAACAAGTTATCAATGGAGAATCTTTCGCCACGCCGCATATATCACATAGAGTGCAATTAGGACATAACCATGATTCAGGTGTAGGACATAAACGAGGGCATTCAGATTCATGCAAACAAGCTCTATGATAGGCTTCACAACAGCTATTGCAATAGATCAAATCTGTACCCATCGAACCGCACTAAAACGAAAGCCGAACAATTTTTTATTTCCTGGAATCAAATAAAATGCTAGTAATTTAGGAAAAAGTTTTATTTAGTCATGAGTAGGTATCTATGCGAAAGTAAAATGTGCTACGTCTCAACATGATTTGTATTCATGGGCGCCTTCTGAACTTTTGCATTCGCTATAGAGTTAGAAGAAATATTAACGAAAAATGCTGCAACGAACTGCATCAAGAGATTACAGATAAAAATTATCAAAACGAGCAGGGGCCGAAATACTTTTTGTTTTGCTTCTACGATGTCGAAACTTATGTAATTACCGTAAGTACAGGTAATTGAGAAATTACTAGAAATTCTTATCGTTCTTGAGAGCAGCATCTTTATACATATATATATATGTCGGAGGTCACTTTAAAATTCAGTTAACTTTAAAAAAGAACTAGTTGGCTTTAAAATAAATCGAAATATTTTGAAATCAACTGAATTTTAAAGTCAACGCTAGCATATATATATATATATTTGTTCCTAAACCTATACAATATGAGCATAGAAATTTCTGTAATTACGGTGATCTCTAGGTAATTACCGAAATTCTTCTCATTCTTGAAGGTGAGGTTCTTAAATCTATATACATATCGATCACTAAATCTACATCATAGGAATATAAAGATTATAGTAATTTCTAGGTTATGTCCGAGATTACTCGAATCGACGTTTTTTTTGGGGGTTCTAATTAGTGGTGGCACTTTACCTTTAAATGAAAAGTCATTTTTAGCTCTTTATGTACGGTTCTATATGGTTTTTACAGTAAATTTAAAGTTACTCTAAAAACTACATAAAATTGCGCCCAAAGAACTAAAATTTATTTTTCATTTTTACACTACTTTTATTAAAGTTAAAGTTTTAAAGTATTATACTTTAACTTTGACTCTTAAAGTTTAAAGTAGACTTTAAACTTTAATTTTGAAAGTAAATTTAAAGTGCCACCACTAGTTCTAATCTGCTTCCATGTTATTATTTATTTCCGAAATGAACGGGAAATCTCTTTTTGTATGTGAAACTGCTTTCAAACATTCACAGGAAATTTCGTTGGATGTTATCTGAAAATATGGTATTTTCGATCATTTTCTTTTGCATGCAATGACAATTACCGAAGTTTTGAGGAAATTTCTGCTAGCACTCTGTTAATAGTGTGAGAGAAATTTGTTATTTTCTGAAATCTGAACATATCTCAGGCCCCCTGCGATCGAAATTCCGATATCTGGAACCAATAAAACAGTAGTTTATTTCGTACTAACCGTATAGCAAAGTGAATAAAATGGAAAAGATTCATCCGATAAAACAGCATAACCTTCTTTAAAAAGATCATCGCGATTAAATGTATTTCTTAATTCCCAACGTAATTTTTTTAGTTGATTTATATTATCATCTATCGATTGTGTTGGTTCAATCGCTTTTTTCCTACTACGTTCATAAATATATTTAAATTGTTTTATTAATTTTTTTGAGTGTCTACTAAAACATTGCTTTTGATTTAAAATAACCGGATTGTATCGAGATTGATCTGTTGCGAGATTTGAATTATCTTCGAAATCTTCCGTATCACTGCCATCATCGGATATTTCTATAATTGATTCATCCGTATCACTGCTAAGACATATCGATTCTTTATCGGTGTCAGATGTTGAACTATCAGACTGTTCGTGAATTTCGAATGTGTCTGATTTTGAACGTTTTGAACGGAAATTTTGTTCCGATTCATACGATCGTTTACGTAATTGACATTTTTGATGAGAATGATTTTGATCATTTGCTACTGTTCCACTTTCATTCATAATTATTTTCGGAATTTTAATTGTCGATCAATCAGAAAAGAAGATGACGCATCTGATTGGTTGATTTTGCCATTACAATCTTACCGTGTCCTTCATTCATTTCATTGAAAATAAATATACGAATTGAATATATTTAAAAAAATTACGTTAATAACTATTTTTTATGTAAAGTTTCTAAATATTAAAATTATTTTGAGGTATTTTTAAGAGATTACTGATTGTTGTTTATTATTTATTTTGGAGGAGGACGATACATCGACGTGTTGTATTGAGAAATTCATATTAAACGAAACTTCTATGTCGACTATACCCGCTTTTGTTTTAATTTTTAGATTAAAACATCTGGTAACGTTATTCGAAAGAAAGAAAGATGGTGAAAGAAGATCGCACAACATGGAAAGCCAAATATACAATGCGTTTGACGGTAAATACGAAGATTTTTATTTGTAAAAAACAACGCAAACAATTGCTCGATGATGATCAACAATTTTTATGTGTTCTGCAATTCTGAGTTTTTTCGAAAACATTGAGAATAATAGCTTCTGAGAGCAATTGTTAATCTAATAGATCAGATCGAATATAGCAACAACAAAAAAAAAAGGTTTTTCTAGCTACATTCGTATTTATTTTAGATCTTGTGAAAGTGACGATAATTGAAGCCTATTTTTTTCAAAGATTAAGTTATTTTAAATAACTAAGCTTAATCTTAATGAATTAGACCGAAGGGTTCTTCTCGAAATCGAAGGCATACACCAAAGAGTGTGGTAGCTGAATTACCAGCCTTAAAATAATCTTTTTTTCTCCCGAAAATTCTAGTATTTTACCGAAATTTTCATATCAAATAAACTAAGATCGAAATATTTCTATTTTCAGCAATATTTGGATGAATATCCGAAAGTATTCATTGTCGGTGCTGATAATGTCGGTTCGCGTCAAATGCAAAAGATCCGTGTATCTCTCCGTGGCCATGCTGGTAACGTATTTCGAACCTTCGTCGCCATATGACCTTTTGTTTTCCTTAGTTCTTATGATGGGAAAAAATACAATGATGCGCAAAACAATTCGAGGACAAACATCGAAAAATTCAAGTTTAGAAAAATTATTACCACATGTCTATGAAAACATTGGCTTCGTTTTTACAAAAGAAGATTTGCATTCTATTCGCGACAAACTTTTGGAAAACAAGGTATGAATTCACTATTGGGAATTTATTCGTGAAGATAAAATTATGTTTTTTTCAGGTCGCTGCTCCAGCCCGTGCTGGTGCTCTTGCACCTGTTGACGTCACCATTCCGGCGCAAGTAACAGGCTTAGGTCCAGAAAAAACAAGCTTTTTTCAAGCACTTCAAATCCCAACAAAAATTACACGTGGTACAATTGAAATCATTGTACGTAGGTATACAAAAAGCGAAACGAACAAAAAACGCCTTTAATGAAACAAATCAGTGACACAAAGCTGCTTTTGTCTGTTTTAGAATGATGTTCATTTAATTAAAATTGGTGAAAAAGTTGGCGCAAGTGAAGCAACACTACTCAATATGTTGAACATTTCACCTTTTAGTTATGGTCTCATCATCCGTCAAGGTATGAAGAGAAAAGTGCATTTTTGTTTTTCGCAGCCGAATTTCATTTCTTCTCTGCAGTTTATGACTCGGGTTCAAGTTTTCCACCAGCAGTACTCGACATCACCAAAGAGACTTTACGTGCAAAATTTGCAGAAGGTGTTCAACGATTAGCGGCTTTTTCACTTGGTGTTAATATTCCAACTCAAGCATCCGCACCACATCTCATTCTCGGTGGATTTAAACGTTTACTTGGTTTGGCTGCTGCAACTGATGTTGAATTCGAACAAGCTAAAACCGTAAGTTCCTTTTTTCTCAACGCGGACTAAGACTGCGTCCAACCGGGTTCTGAAAGCTGTTGAAATTTTATTTCGTTTCTAGTTGAAAGAATTCTTGAAAGATCCATCGAAATTCGCCGCAGCAACAACAGCAGCAGCTCCAGCTAGTGCACCAGCTGCCGCAGGTAAACCAGCAGCTGCACCTGCTAAACCAGCTAAACCCGCTGAACCAGAATCCGACGATGATGATATGGGTGGTCTTGATATATTTGGTTAAAATATAATTTTGATTTATTCATCATCAATTTTTACATGCCAATATTGTCATCTATTTTCTTTTGTCTTCTACGTTGTTCAATCAGCATTGTGTTTTCTTTTTTATTTGGCATAAGAAGAAACAAAACATGATATCATCAGCAAACGAAAAAAATAAAAAGAACAGTTTTTAAAAAGAAGAATAATAAATAGAAATATCCATTATCGTTTTATAAGGATAATGATGGAAAGAAGAACGTTATTTAAACGTGGTTTTTTTTTATCCAAATTGGTGAAAAAATAGAAATACAGCTGAAAATATCTCGAGCTGTTCAGTAAAATTTATACACATTGTTATCGGCAGACTCCGAAAAGCCTAATTTTGAGTGAAAAACTTGTAATTGTTAGCATATACAAAAGATGTGTTTTGTTAAAAGACAAAGAATATATGCCTAGAAATATTGGCTTCGAACATCATAGTAATGATGCTTCCGTTTCGGTTCGAAAGATTTAGACTTTTTTTTGGTAGCTTCTGGGTTTTCTTGCAATTATTAAAAGAAAATTCGATGGATCAACGCAGCATATACGAAAAATTTTAAATCGATAAAATTGGTTGTTTTGTGAGCGAAATACAAGAGATGTCATAGAGAGTCGAATTGTTTTTTTATTGTTAGAAAGAGCGCAGTGTCTAGTGCATAAATGAGTAGCAGAGGCCACAACGAAAAACAAAAATTTCGCAACTTTAATGAGAATTTTCTATTAAACGTATGCAGATGTGCACTGAAAAGAATGCTCTGGTGTGTTAAACTGTTTGGTTGAATATCTATCAGGAAACCTGTATCTCCTACTTCAAATAATATTATTTGATCGAGGACTCGTTGAGCTTTCTTTCCCATATAAAACCTATTTCTCGATTGTGATTAAGAGCTATGAAAAATTCTTAATACCAGTTGATATTATTGGAGTGATGATTTCAGCCATTACAAAAGATGCAAAGAGATCACTATCTTCACATCGTAAAATTTGCAGTTGTCTGCTCAGGTGAAAACGTTTGTTACTTCAAAAGAATTGTGAAAGTTATTCTCGAGTTTCAGCCTAACATTTCTGTTATACATTTTTGCACCTCTCGTTCTTAAGATTTTGTTTTACCCATTACGAGGAATTAAAAAGAAAATTTCAAACGGTCGCAGTACCATTTTGATAAAAAATATCTTTCTTATTTTGGGTCGATATTTTATTATACAAATCGAGTGAAAGAACACTACCAAAAAAGCTTTTCAGCGCAGCCCCGTTGGGGCTAAAATGCGGAACTCACATATTTCGGTCAGTTAGATACTGATCAAGTAGAAGTTTTATTTTTTCAGTGTAGTGAGATCGTATGTTGTTCGAACATAAGATAATAAAACCTTTTTAACATTTGAAATCGATTGGATCTATCACTAGGAAATATTACTAGAGAAAACGTATAAAAAAACTTTTTGCTTAGAACATGTCAGTATGCCGAAGTGTTTAGTGGTTTCATTGAGAAATATTGTGAATGATCATAGTTTAAACAGTATTTAGGATAGAGCCATCAATACTGTTGAGAAATTTATATTTTTTCGTATTATCAGGTGAGAAATTGATACATTTTTTCATAAACGAAAATTTGATAAAAGCTTCCCAGTGGCTGGAAAAGTTGCTAATTGTAAATACACTAAAGTGGATTCAAGGTGAGAAAAAAAAGATTAAAATCTTCATCTGTTTATTGTAGATGGTAGAAGTAACGAGTGTAATAGTAGCATAAACTAGCTGCTAGCTTCTGTAGCGGTTGCATACACTCGTTGCTAACGTCTGTAATAATAAAAATATACGATACTGTTGTAACTATGGACTATAGTAATAAAAACGACAGGTTTTGATGATTGATTAGAGATTAGATCCTAATTATAATGATTGCTAATTAGTGAAACTAGATTTTTATTACTGATGTGAGTAGTGGTGAACATAGGCAATCGATCTGTACCAAAAACGTTACTAATTAGTGCATCTAAGTGTTAGTTTTTTAATATTTTATGTCTGTAACGGGGAGAGGGGGGTGGGGTACAGGGGAGCCGCAAAACCTAACAATTCAACTTACACTCACTATTTTCTTCGAAAATATATGTGAGTTCCACAAAATATTATTTTTGATATAGTGAAGGTAATTTAACCTGTTAATAATACTTAAAAACATATGGGTAGTGTTTCATAGATAATTTTCAGTTCTCGCTTAGAAGAACCATATGAGGCGGTGAAAACGAGCTAAAAGAGAGATACTATATTTACACTCGTAGAACTTTCTTAAGAAAAATTAATGGGCTCTCGTAAAGGTTTCATATGGTGTCGAAATGTCACAACTTTAGCTGACTAGCTTATGAAATACTTCAGATTTATTTCCTTATTTGACGATAGGTGAAATTTCTCTACTGTGAAGAAAAATATCATGTTCTTTAAATAAAATCTTAGATAAATAAATCGTGCAAATCAAAAAATTAATTTAGACTACATTCAATTATCTACACGGTTGCCAATAAAATAAATCTTCCGTTGATTTGAGAATTTCTCTATTAACGAATTACATAATGAACATCCGCACCGGAAAGATTGCATTGCATAGTGTTTATTTGGCACAAATTTTAATTGATTGGGTCTCTTATCAGGATTTTTTTTCTGAGCACTCGAAACTTCTATTACATCAGAAAAATGAACCAGCAGCAAGTCAATCGTCGTCCTGAGAACTCTTTGAGTTTCATGAAGAAAAAAAAACATTTTATTCTATTTATAGAAAACTAATCAATTGATTAGGCAAACTTATTTCCATGTATTTTATTATCAAAGTCGACTAGCAAATGTAATCATCGTGTTTTATTAAGCGTTTGATTAACCTAACCGCTGGCTCGTCTCGGCATCAAACTTTCGTACCGTCACTAGTCTCAAATGTGGCATATTCCATCTTCATTTTCTTCTGTTCCTCAGCAAAAATACGGACAGACATACGACTTTATCTTGTAAGCAAAAAGAAAACTTTGCTGTTCGGCATACACAAGTGATTTAAATCGTCGATGATTCCTTTTCATAAACGAACGATACGTTCAACTCGTGCAGATTTTGTGATCATATTTATTCGCTGCCAAAGCTCGGCTCGCTCTCTTGAGTGGGTGTTTCCAATGCACGATGTTTAATATTATCGATGTGCATGTATAGATCTAGTTCGTAATTACCGTTCTGTTAATTCAACAGGGTTTCGTTCTTTTTTTTTACCCAGAAGGAAAAAGAAGCCAACTGGCATTTAATTTTTGTTTTGCCTACTCAGATTGCCTGAAGGATACAAAAAAAAAGAAGAAGACAAGTTGTCAATTTTTTTCACGATTTGATCAGCAACAAGTTCACCATATTGTAACGATTGTGATGATCACGTATGCTCATGTTCAACACCTGCCGAAAAAGTAATCTTTTGATTTTACGCCGCGATATGAACAATTCATGTCAATTATGCCTCAAGCGTCAATTTTATTTTTATAGTATTGATTATCATTGAGGAAGATGACGCGCACCTACAATACTGGAAATAAAACCCAGCCGTCGACGCCAAGAAAAAATGAAACACTAGTTGGTGATTGTGTTCTGTGATTAATAGACTTGTTATTATGTGTAAAATAAGTTTATCAATGAGTTCTAGTCACAGAATCAATGTGTGATTAATAATCTTTGTCATCTCGTGTTAGATTTGTTACACATAATAAAACACTACCTCGCACACTTCAATCAAGATTTTTTTTTCGTCTTCCATTGCACATAAAATCTATCCAGATGGTTGCTCACACTTTCAATCTTCAACGCCTTTCAATATGACACATCAACATATGGATCATCATTTATACACAAATGAAAGAAAAGAAGAAGAAAAAAAATAATACTAATAATCATGAAAAGTCAGTCAAATGTTCAATGAAGAGCAGCGAGTTCTTGAATTAATGATCCAATCGGCCCATATTTTTCTTTGTGAATTTCTGAATTGAGACTTTCACTCGAAGTATTGCTCATTTGTTGTTGTTGTTGTTCGGTTGGTTCTATTTTTAAAATTAAACCGTCATGATTATGTTCGGCACCATGTTGTGTATCGATGTGCCGACGTAAATCAACTTTACGTTGAAATGCACGTAAACATTTATGGCATTCAAATGGTTTATAACCTGTATGTTTTCGACTATGCGTAATTAAATTCGACGATTGAGAAAATGCTTTACCGCAAACAATACATTTATGTGGTTTTTCTCCTAAATAAAACATAAAATAAAATTCAGGATCCGCTTCATCTATTGAGGAAAACGGAAACAGTGAAAGTGACTCGATGTAAGAAAAAAAATCATGCATAAATGTCAATTGCTCATTTTTTTTCTAACTCGTACGCCTTTTCCATCTTAACGTGTACATATTTAACAAGCTTCTTATCAATGTTTAAAACGGTCATCATCGTTCGTTCTCTGAGGAGCGCCTCTGACATATGGTTAATTGTATCATGAATTGTCATTTCTAACTTGAAAATCGATATCGATGTGTCATCAGAGCTAATTTCACTGATTGACATTGATCATTCGATGCTTTTACTGAGATTGAAATGCAATAAAAAGACGGGAAAGAAAAAGGGAAATTACCTGTATGAATATATGTATGTTTTTTCATGTCGGATTTTTGGTGAAAACGTTTTCCACAGTGTACACATGAATATGGTCTCGTATCGGAATGTATCAGTAAGTGTGTTGACAATGTTGATGAGCGTTTGAAAGCTTTTCCACATGTTTTACATTGAAAACAACGCTCTTGTCTGTGTGTTGCTCGATGTTGTACGAGTGAGAGAGCATGACCGAATCTCTTCGAACATAGATCACAGGAATAGGGACGCAGCTCGGACGTGTGTGTACGTCGTACATGAACTTCGAGACCGTGCGATGTTGAAAAGTCTTTGTCACACTCTTGACATTTGTAAAATATATTTGTCGAATCGATAACTGTGTCGTTATCGTCGTCGGAGTCTTCTTTCATAGTATCGGATTTAGTTGACGGCGGAGTGAGTAAACCAGTATAGTATTGAACACCAAAAAGATATTTCAAACGTCCAAGCAAATGTTCATTTGATTGTTCAGACACATAGGCATTTCTATGCAGCGACATTGTTTCAGTAAACCAAGTTGGAAAGTTTAACGATGACATTCTCTGTTTGATATATGTTCATGCAAGTGGTGCCATATATATAGTGGAGGGAAAATGTATAATAATTGTTATGGACTGCTAAGGAAGATAATTGACGAAATCTATCTTCTCTGATGTCTCACAGTTGCCGACGCGCAGAAAGCGAGTACACCAGGTTAAAAATAGTGAGAAATAGAATTCAACTTCAAATAATATTGATGAATGGTCGTCATCTTGCAACCCAGCAAGAAAGTAATAGAAGTCGACGTTTGATTGGTCGGAAAATGAGCATAAGAGGAAAAGGAAGAGGAGAAGAAAAAAAATCTCATTCAACAAGAGAGAGAGAGAAAGAGAGTATGGAAAAAGTGAATTCGTATTGGCTATTGGCTTTTCTTTTCATTTCGATCATTGAATATTATTCATCATCATTAGATGATTAGGTTCTATTCATTTATCTTTTATTGATAGTCGGTATGATGAGCAGCTGTGAGAAAATTGAACATCACGAATCTACTTTGTTTTACTAAAATGGTTATTAATTTTCTATTCATTAAGGCAAGTAATAAATGATTGTATGTTGACATTTTGTCGTTGACAATTAGAATAAAACAAAAACGCTGAAGAGTGATATTGCGGAAAGAAAATACGTCGCTTTGGTTTTTAGAATATTTCAAATCATGGTATTGCTTACGGGAAATCATATGTGGCCGCTTTACAGCTGTGATAATTACCAGGAAAAGTGAAATGTTACATAAAGTATCAGTGAAACTGGTTTAATGAGAAATCTGATTGAAAAAAAAATGTACTTGGAATTTTGTTGGCAGTAACAGTAAACATTTTGAGTAAAGCGAAAAAATTTTGATTGAAGAGATATTCTCATTTCTGACACGAATCGGATTTGTTTATGTTCATTATTAAAAGAAGCTCGTCGTCGCGTGTGCAAGTATTCGATGATGTTTTTGCCACCAGGTGGACGGCCTGCATAAAATCTAGAGTTATCCACATGTTTGTTCTCAACAATATTAAACAGAAAAAAAGGATATGATTTTCTGATATCGATTTGTTAGCGTAGCGTCACATGTTAGATAGCATAGCATTGATTAATTTCGTTTCACTCGAAGAACAGCTTGGCGAGAGACGAATGAAAAATGTCGTGATTGATTTAATAATACCAAATGAAATGTATTGTTTTACACCGAACTGCTAGTCTTTAGCATCGATAAAGCATGAAGAAGTATTTAGTATTTAGTCTTTGTGTACTCAAAAAGTGAGTACACTCTAGATTCGGTCAGTGCGTCTGGCCGTCCGTTAACACGATAACTTTTGAAGGTCTCATCTAATTGCCATGAAATTTTGTACACATAATGATCTCATCCATATTTCAGTCGAGTTCTAAGATGAAAGCAATCCGTTCAGAAGTGACTGAGTCATCGAAAAAATTGTCATTATTTACCAGAGCATTCCTGAGGGGGGAGGGTACAGGGATTTTTCAAAAAAAAGCTTTTCTCACAATGGAGGTGCTTGTACTGTGCGTGAGAAAAATGGGATATTTTCCGATCAAATGAAAGCTCTCATAGCCAAACTAACAAGGTTAAAATATTAGCTGCTATTGGCTTGCCTAGACTGAGATATTCGATTTTTCAGTGAATTTTCTATACAGGACCGGGTTTTCCAGCAATATTATATTTTCGAATTTGNAAATATCCCGTTTTTCTCACGCACAGTACAAGCACCTTCAGTGTCAGAATTATTTACAACATATAGAAATCGACTCAGTTTTTAACGCTGATTCTGAATCTGATATTAATTTTGAACCAAATCGTTGCTTTCTAACAAAACATCGTGTGAAAATATCTCAAAATGCACAAAAATTGCATTCAGAAACTACATTGTCTAGAGATGTCGCAGATGACCGGTAGTTTGAGGTTCCTCAAATGCTTGACTTTGTAACTAGCCAAAAGGACTATCGAAAGGTAAAAACTCGAACTCGATAGCTATTAATATTGGTGATTTATTAGGAAAATACTGATGCCTGTATCTATCATATATCTTATAGATTCATGAAGTTGCTAACGATCGTAATCCCACTAGATACAAACGCAAACCCATTCAAAAATAACTCTTCCTACCCAGATTTCCAAGCTAAACACAAATCTGAACTCAATTTCTGTGATTTCTAAAGATATTATATCACGCTGAGTGTAGAGTCAGTGGTCACCGGATAGGGTCGCATACAGTGTGGTCCATGCTAACTTAACACGCCTGTATTTTCTTCTTGCAATTTCGTCACAAGGAATGTATCTTGATGAGATATATGTCTTATAGAATAAATGCGAAAATCTTGGATTTAAATCCGATGTTTCCACATTTATTTTCGATTATGAGTTAGAAGTGCACTTTCTGTTAAGCATAATTCACCAAAGAAAATTTTATTCCGACTGGAAAATGTTTGATTCAGCAGTCACTAGAATAATATTTTCATGTTATAAACATTCCATTATACTCCATTTTTTGGCTATTTCTTTATTGAGACTCACTATATATTTCTTTGAATTATTTCCATATGCTGTTATTTATATATTCACTTAGAAAAAAAAAATGCATAAAAAAAGTTGACTTTAAACCGAATTTCCAAGAGAAATAGACATTCGCGTAAAATAAATTTATGCTGAATTAAATATTTAATCGGCGTAAATAATACGCAGCGTGTTTGTTGTTCCAAGACCAGGGCGCTAAAAGAATAAGATTTAAGAAAAGAACAACATTTGAAAAGAAGGAAAGCGAAACCTACCCATCCTGTAACTACAATAACAGCGTCACCTGTGGAACAGAAACCACGTTCTTTGGCAGCTTTAATTGCATCGCTGACACGTGCATCAACGTCCAGTAACCAATCACTCATGGCCAATGCTTGACTTGTTGAAATGTTATGTTGCTTGAATTGCACTTCCACACCAGATAGGAGAGCTAAATTTTATCATGAAAATATATAAAAACAATATTGAAAAACGAAAATTCTTGATTTTTTTTTTGTGTTTAGTTTATGTGATGGACTAAAACTTTCAATATAGTACGGTTAAGAATATTATTGATAAGTGCCGATAAAATGCGGGTTCATGTCGTTTAACTTACATTGATTATCATAAGCTGTTTGCATAATAGGTGCTGGGATAATTAAAAAAAAGGGATAATGGTTTATCATGTCAAGACAATGTAAGGAAAAGCAAACAAAAGGTATATTACTCACTTCGAGGAGCTAGAATATAAAAGAAAAATAAATAAATAAAGATTATTCTAATTAATTGATGTCAATATTTACCGTCGATGTAAACAGGACAACAGCCACGATATAAATGCAATTGTCTTGCTACTTGTAAAGATCGAGTTACTGCCATAATAACGGCTCTTGGGCGGTATTGGGAAATAAGACGGGCCGATCTATTGAAACAAAACAAATCGCCATGATTTTAAATCATTAAAGTTTACGATTATATTACCGTCCGGAATGTGTAAGAACAACAATAATTGAAGCAAAGCTTCGAAACGCTGCTTCAACTGCTGCAATAGCTGACGATTGCATTTGATCCTGCATAGAAATTTTAGAGATATGCGAAAAAACAAAATCGATTTTTGTTACCAATGGTGGTTTTGTAAAATAACGAAGATTTTCAAAAAGTTCACGATGGAATAGACATGCTTCCGCTTCACGAGCAATCTAAATATAGTTAATTTAGCTTTAAATTCATAAGAGAATCGTTTAAAATTAAGATCTCGAATGTATCACGCGCAATAGCAAAGCGATTTTATATTTACTTCTCTGAATGAATTCAATTATTTATCTGATCCAAAATAGAAGCATAAATTCATATGCGAATTGACAAGTATCAATATTGTATGAGGAAAACAAGAATGTCATCTCGGTTCCTTTCCTGATTAGCAACAAGATCCGGAGTATACTTCCGAGTTCTCGCGAGTGAAATTCATCAGAAATTTCGATTCCGAACAACTCCGAATTTCTTCTTCTTAAATATCCGTTCCATCGATCGAGAAACAGGCTCACATTGACATCTCAGTTACTATCAAAGGAATTTTGTTTTCCGTAAATTTCACGATTGATTGAATCTTTTGATATTTTTTCATTCTAATCTTCAAGATGGCGACAACAATATTATCCTACTAACTTCATGCATCAGTTGAATACATTGCACTGGATATTTTCCTTTTGCTGATTCGCCCGACAACATAATGCAATCGGTATTATCCAAAACAGCATTGGCAACATCACTGACTTCAGCACGGGTTGGGCGCGGATTTTTAATCATACTTTCTAACATCTAATAAAAAATTTATAGAAAAAAAGAAAAGAAAAGTCAATTTGCTTATTACATAGAAAGAATTTAATTTACTTGAGTAGCACAAATAACTGGTTTACCAGCTTGATTACATTTGGCAATTATCATTTTTTGTGCGACAAAAACTTTTTGAGGTGGAATTTCAATCCCCATATCACCACGAGCAACCATGATACCATCGACTTCTTCCAATATATCATCAAAGCTAGCAAACAAATTATTTTTGTAATCAGAACTATTTAGTTTCCTTTTTTACTATTGGATTCCTTGATGATTTTCAATTTTTGCAATAATTTGTATTTTCTTTCCGCTTTCACCGAGGACTCTGCGTATTTCACGAACACCCTCGGCATCACGAATGAAACTCGCAAAGACAATATCCAGCTAAAATAAATATAGATATTAATTTCGAATGGCTGCTGTCTTATTTTATTTTATTTTGCTTACGCCGTTGTCCACAGCAAATTGAAGGTCGAGCTTATCTTTCTCTGATACAGCGGGCAAATCAACAGGAACACCGGGCAAATTCACACCTTTACGACTACCTAATAAACCACCGTTTTCAACTTCACAATCAATATGTGTATCTCCTAAATTAAAAAGTAAATTTAGATTCCGAAAAAAGAAAAGCAAATACTAACCAATGTGTTTAACCAACAATGAAATGAGACCGTCATCAATATAAACTCGATTACCGGGTTTAATAACTTGCGATATATTTTTATAATCGACGTATAAATTCTCCAGGGTACATTTACTTTCGTATGCTTCATCTGTTGTTAGCCGAACAGTTTCGCCAACTTGTAAATTACGTTCAGCGTTAGTTCCCTGAAACGATTAAAATTCTTTCTCTTGCAAATATTTCCTTCTATGAAAAATTCTCTTACTTCAGCCCATAGACCGGTTCGAATTTCTGGGCCTTTTGTATCCAATGCAATACCAATAGTTCGCATTCTTCCTTTGCGCTCAGTAAGTTTTTCAGCAGCACGAACATTATCAATACTTTGTTTATGATACTAAAAAGAAACGTAAACACATGAATTTTTCAGGTAAATTTGTTTTTATTTTTCCTCACTTCGTGTGAACCATGCGAAAAATTGAGTCGTGCAATATTCATTCCAGCGTCAATCATTTTCAAAAGCATATCAACACTTTGTGAAGCCGGTCCTGAAATTTTCGAAGCAACATTTTTGTTTTAAAATAATATTTTTTCTTTCATACCTAATGTACAAATAATACTGGTATGACGAGTATTCCATCTAAATTAAAATAGATAGAAAAATTGTCTTGTTTTAAATTTCGTTTTACTTACGGTTCTGAATCAACGTCAAGTAATGTACGTTGTTCAAGAGCATTTACAGCTGTTTCCGCAAATGCTTGATGTTGATAATATACTCGACTTCGTGAATCATTTTGTTTGCATGCATCTTTGAATTTACCACGCAGATCCATCTAGATAAGTGTAGAAAAAAAAAGAAAAACATGTTTTTTCTCTTTATTATCTTAATCGGTTGTATTTCGTTGGTCATATGCACTATTAAAGAAGAAACAAAAAAATGTGCTTTTTTTTGTATCGCATGACATGACCTAAGCATGTACGTGTGTCTGTTCAGCACATATATTCGATAATAGAACGTTGTAAGACAAATGAAAAGAAAGCAAAAGAAAGATGCACTACAATTCGAAATGCACTCTGAAGACCTGATCGATTTGAATGATTATAACGCTAGGTAGGATTCGATTGGTGGTTGGCTCAGATGAATCAGTTCTAACTCTTTTCATGTATGTTTTTAGACGCCTTTTTTTTCTTTTATCCCTGCTCGTCATGTACAACGTACTTGACACTCTTCATCAAATAATTACGTATTAGAATATTTTTCAAATTTTTCTTTTTCCGATATACCGACGTGCACCAGTGGACAGAAATAAAAAATCAAGTAGCCGATATCTTCTCAATTGTAACTTACATACCAATAAAAGATACGAATCACTTATTCAATTAAAAATCGTGATTGCTCAAATTTAGCGACATCGACAAACAAAACTATGCTAACCTTGACGCGTTGCCAATCGTGGGGATGCGACATATTGGCTTTTTCGTTTAGAGACGCCGAATTTTCGTTCGTTGTGTTATCAGTCATTAGGTAGATTTGCACTCTGACCAGTTCAAACAATATTATATAAAGAATGACGATAAAAAATTAAAAAATAGAAAAGCAACTCCCCCACATTTTATGCTCGCAACTAATTTTTTTCTTTTTCTTTTCTTTTTCAATTTAACCACACAATACGAACGCGTAACTAATCATGCTAGCACGACGTGATCAAGCTATTTCATTCGAAAGTGAAAATTTACAGGTGATCGATAAAACACTGAGCAAACGATAGCAAGTATTCCTCTAGGTCTTTCTTTTATGGCATTAAAGTCAATGACACACACACACACACGCGCGCAGGAAGGATTTTTTACAGATCAAAATAAAAATGGTAAGCCAATAGAGCTCTGTTTGGATGAAAATAGAGTGTTTTCATGATTGTGCAACGATCGTGCCTTGACGAAACCTCAGTGCAAAAAAAAATGAAAAAAACAGCTGTTGCAACTTTTGATATGGATCAATATTAAACGACGCAATTGCACTTGACTTCTTAATTATAAGAAAAATTCACATGACGTTTATCCGTAGATAAATATTTTGAAATCGATATGGGTGTTTTTTCCTTTTTTTTTTGCTTATCATGTTTTTCATGGTAATGTTCTCGAAATTGTCAGAGTAGTAAATAGAAAAACAAAAAACCACTAAGCTTGTGTCTTCGTAAAAAGAAAAAGCTTATTTTTACTCTCTTTATCTTAAGTTTTCAAAAAGAAAGAAGAACGAAAACGGGTTTGACACTGCAATAAATTTTGCAAATCAAAACCTCCGAATAATATTATCTTGATTTAAAAAAAGAACAAATTAAAATAAAAATTATAAATAAAAAAACGAAGCAATTCACTTAAATTGTTGCATAATCGTATGCTGTACTGTTTGTAGTTGTGTAGCAACTTTTATAATGGCCTCATATCGATGTAAACCTTGAATATTTCGCTGTTGATCAAGCTCAAGCACATTATTTACTTGGTCGATTTTACCCTGGATGCTTTGGTCGAGTATACAAGATATTAATATGTTGATTACTTCATCAATTTTAATATTTAATTCTTCTGCAATAAATTGAAGGTGTATTTTTGTATATGGTTTAATTAGTTTAATTAAAACTTTTGTTCGTATCGAACGTAGAAGTATTTCAATATGTTCTCGAATAAATTGATCGTTCATAATTGTCTGTCGATTTTTAGTTAGAATTGTTTCAAATTCTTTAATATTATTATTTTGATAAGCACCAATAAGATTTGTCATAGCTTGAATGTCGGGATTGTCTTTATAGGGTTTTGCTTCTTGAGAATCAAAAGGATTTATAGTTGAACGCATAAGCATATTAGCAAGAACAAGATATTTCAAACACGTTATACGACGCGGTGAACCGGATTCGTCATAGCTTTTAAACGCTTCGAAAAAGTCCGTATGACTTTTTTCATATTCTTGTTCACGTAAATGCATTTTGCCGCCACATTCTCGTATAACACCTAGAAATGTAAGTCTAATTTCAAGCTCGAACAAGAAAACAAATTATCCAACGAACCCATAATAAGTGGATGAGGAATAGCCGATTTGATGTGTAGCGAAGCTTCATAAAGTTGTTTGAGTTTTTTATTGTTCTTTTGTGATGTATGCATTTGAATTTCTAATGCATAGATTTCTAATAGTTGTGTGCCTTGATGTTGATTATCAGTGCCTAGAAAAATGAGTCTAGCTCGAGAATTTAATGATCTGAAAATATTTTACCCTCGGACGATTCACAAGCTTTATATAATTCTTTAATAACTTTTTGTAATTTAGTATAATCATTTTGTTCCTCGTGTAGTTTGCCTAATCTAAGATTTACTTTAAACCACAAACGATTGTTTTTCGCTTCTTTCAATGCGTCTAATGTCAATGCATAGAAATCTTCTATTAGATCCTTTTTTTCCGATGTCGATACGAGATCAATAATGGAATTGATTGTTTTTTCGCTTTCATTTCGTGTAACAGCTGACTTGATATATGTCATTCTGAATAAAACAAAAATAATTATATGTATAAGAATTTCATTCGGTTTTAATATTAATTTTTCTTGCTAATAATTATTGTAAAAATGTGAATAATAAAACGACTATTGAAGAAATATGATAGCTCAGCTGTTTTCTTATCTAAACAATTGCTGATGTTGCTACTTAGAAAAATGAAAATTTGACCATCGAGAGAACTGCAGAAACTTTAATAAAAAAAAGCATTTAAAACTTTTTTTCGACTACCAGTGATAACTAGAACAGTTCGAGGAAACAGAAAAAAAACATTTCTGCCATGGAAGACACTTGCCAATGTTGAAAACACAAAGCTCTAAAAATTAGTTTTGTGTATTCTATGAGAAATACATCTCTAAGCTCTCCATTACCTATTTTCATCGAACCACAACCGTTGTAAAAAAAAACACACGCCGTAAATACTATCGACTTTTCCTCTATGAAAAATTATGTCAACTTACTGACTGTGTTTTTTCACTTAACTGTCTTCCAGTGGCGTAGCCAGCAGATTATCAATTGGACAATTGGCCATTGTTAAAAGATATTTAAACCTGTGTATATTTAAAGATTTAAGGAGTGTTTTATTTCAGCACATTTTCTCTTGATGAGATTCAATCAAGTGATTTACAAAAATCAATTTTCAATCTCTTCCAGTTAAGGAATGATCACAATAATAATCCATTCATTGATATTATTTGCTCTTTTAATTGATGTTCATTATACTAATGTTTCTTCTATTTATGCTATTACTTGTCCTTTTGGTATTTGTTTATGACTTATTCACGTGTATGAAATTGAAGAATACATTCCGAAATATGGCGAAAAAAGCAGCGAATTTATCTGTTAATGCTGGATGAGTAATTTCTCTTCCAGTAAATAACGGCTTCTGTCATGCAGATATTTTCAAAACAAAATATTGCTAACTAGAGTTTTTAATTGACTACTATTACCACCCGCTAGAAACAATTTAGCTGGCGAATTGCCACCTACTTAAAAAAATCCTGGCTACGCCACTGCTGTCTTGACATTAGGATGAATAAAAATCGGTTGAATATAGACCGTCGAGAGTTCGGAAACACTTCATTTTATTCAGCAATATACTTTTGATTGAATGCATAAAGTTGACGTGAAGAGTCTTCAGTTTTACAAGTTACTATCACAATAGGAAATTGCTTCGTCTACTCGAATCTTTTCTTTTAAATCTCTGCAAACTAAATTTAATGTCAATAAATAGTCATAACTATATAAAACTTACAGTTCTTTATAATGTGTTAACATTGGATTAAAATTTTTCTCTTTATAATAAATTTTCACCATTTGTTCCAACGATTTAAATCCCCAATCACCTTTTGTACCAAGTTTTTTCTCTAATGCAAGAACATTTTTAAAACTTTCAAGAGCAGCCTCCGGATCATCTTCATTTAAAACTTCGGAATGATAGTATTGATTTTCCAAATCATTATCGGGTTCTTCGTTATCATCGTCATAATCATTGTCGAAATCATCATTATCATCCATGTCATCATCCGACATTTTTAGAAGATTCCTTCTGATAATCTAGAACAAATAATGTAATAAATGCAATTATGTTGACCTCATTCATATGATATCAAACGAGATATTTCACTAAATTGATGAAGAAATATTATTTGCGTATTGTCTATTCGCTAAAATTTAGACAAGTTGACCTTGAGCGTTAACTAAAAATTAGATTAATTGAATTTAAAAAAAGAAATTGAATTATATGTTATTATTGCATAATCGAATGAGCAAGAACGATCAAATCTATTGTAGAGAAATTCTATTTAGATATTTATGCTTGTTAACGATGACAGCTCGATTATAATGTTAAGTATTGTTTATTTTGGATACCGGTTCATTCGTCCACAGTATGTAACCACAATAAAAACATTAAAAAAGAGAAATCAAAGTGAATTCCACTTTCCATTTATTCCACACGATAAAACAAGGCTCTTTAGTCAAAAATGTTATTTACTCAATTGGTTTTGTTTTGCTAAACTGATGACAGAATTGGAAAAAGAAAAAAATATATATATAATCAAGTGACAACGTGATACGAATAAATGTCGGAAGTGATGATGTTTGGCAAGGTTCTCAATAAAAAAAAAAAATAAACTATGGAGTTAAAACTATTCTATTGAATAAAATTTCAACGAATCACATTTATTTGTCAACGTACCATGACAAAAAATAAGGATTGTTAAACAAATCTCACTGATTTCATAATAAAAGACGTTTTGTTCAATGTTAACTACTCTCAAGAGAGTTGTCTCTCTGCATGACAAATTTTATGATAGATTATTGATTAGCATATCGAGTTTGCATTGCATTCATTTCTTTCTTCGGCTTAAAACTTCATTTTCAAAAGTGATGATCGAGGAATTTATACTCGAATAATTCATTTGCCCTCATGTTTCAGCACTAAGTCTTACGTTCTTTTTGGTTAGTACTACTGCGTATTTTAGCTTTCAAAAAATTGATTTGCTTGCTAGAAAAATTGTATTCTCTACTGAACAACATTAGTTTCACTAGAGACCCACTGAATAGAGTTGTTGTCACTCATGGCCATGGTTCAGTTCGATTTGGGAATTCATTTTTCTTTGACTGATAGGCACAATCTTTCTTTAGCGACTATTCTAGATTTCTTTTGGGTCAATGAGTAGACGGCAGCATTTAATCTATTTACATACATTTATTCGTGTGTTATCAAACACGAGCGGCAGATAAAAAAAAGAAGGCATGGGTGCGTCGACCCATCATCATCATCATTCACGCCTCTTCCAAAAGTCATAAAAAGATGTAGAACAAGTAACAGCTGCATACCGTACTAATTTGACAGATGAAGTAATTTATGACATGAATGATGCACTATTCAGAGTGCTAAACTTAACTTGAAGAAATTTTCTTTATTCTCACATTAGAACCATTGCTTCTAGCCTGATGTAGAATTAGCACGGTGTAGAAATGATGTAGGCAGTCAATTTTGATACCGTAGTGTATGATGATATCCGATGAGCACTTTCTATTTAAAGCCATGAAGAAATAACTTCTATCATAACTGCAGTGATTTTCAGAAGAATTTTAAATACAGTCAATTTATTTTCAAAGAAAATATTGATACCTGTCAAAAGTATTATTCGCGATGTACAAGAAGAATTTGAATTCTTGAACGTCCTTGCTTATTAATCTTGTTTGTGACAAGCAATCAATCTTTCTTGTACACACATCAATCACAAGGAGATGTCTTTAGTCGATTTATTTACGTAACTAATCTTATACAGCAGACGTCTGCGCGGAAATTAGATTCGTCAATCTTTGGGAATGTTCAACCTGAATGAAGTTTTATTCAAATCTATCTGACTAATTCTATCGGTTTTGTTCACCGTGTGAAAGAAAAAATCATGCATAAGGGATAAACAACACACAAAGTAAAGTTCATCCAAAAAAAAGAAAAGAAAAATAATTGTTTTTTGAACAATACAAGTAAAGACACAATGATTTCTTAATAAACATACGTATAAAAGAATAGAGCTTTGATAGATATAAGACTTAATTACACAGAAAATCGATTTGACAAGTCATGCAAATCTGTTAAGAATTGTGTTTTGGTTTAATGACGTGTATTTGAAAACGCTAAAGCTGAAAATACACTTGTCGAAGATTCTTTTGCTTTTGTTGCTGCAGCGGCAGCTGTTGCTGCTGCTGCTGTCGCCGCTGTTGTTTGTTTAAATCTTTTAATATTCTTTTTCGGGGATTTATCAGCGGAATTCGCTCGCTAAAATTCATATAATTGTTAGTAAGAAAATTTAAAAAAAAACTATTTCAATACTTTTTCACCAGATGATGTCGTTGATGGAGCCGGATTTTCATTTTCATTTGTAGCAGGTACTATGAGATTCGTTGCAAAAACATGTCGTCGAGGGTTATGTTGTTTTTTAGTTTTGATTGCTGCTTCATCGGTATTTTTCAAAGTCGCTACTGTTACATTATTTCGGTTCATTGGTGCTAGAAGTGTTGAGCTAAATCGTTTCGCTAGTAGAACTGAACTCAGAGTAACAGAACGGGCTTGATTGCCTTTTCTCGTTGTCGTATCGGTTATGGTTTGAGTAGTTGATTCAATGTGAGTCATTGTTGTACCTAAAAATTAATTGAAATCGATGTTTGAGTGGGAGGACTTGGACTTCAGAAGGTGAAGTCCACGATTTTTACTTTATCTTATTAAATTTCTCCGAAATAAAATGTCGGTCACTTACTTTGAAGTTTTTTCTGTTTAAGTGCAAGACCTTTTTGAAACATGGAACTATTTTGGCCAATACTATCCAAATCTTCATTGAGATGAAGTTCTTCAGCCTAGAAGTTCACTTTTTTAATAGAATTTTTTTTCTGATTTCGATTTGTTTTTACTTGATTGTCTTGTATCGAGCGTTGTCGTTCTAATTCACTGAATCGATCTTTCATATCCATTGGATCTTCATCTTCGTCTTCATCGTCATCGTCGTCTCCGTCTTCACTATTGTAATCAGGATCATATTCCTCGTCGTCATCATCGTCCATGTCTATCGAAGAAAAAAAAGCATTTTTTTGTATTTTTGACGAAAAAGTTTCTTTTTACTTTTCGAGATTTTTATCCTTCTTCCATCATCATCGCCATCGAAATCAAGATATTGCTCTTTAAGTAATTTTAATTGTTGTTCATCTTCTTTGGCTTTGATTTTTCTAATAAGGAATTTTTCTTGCTTTCGATTATTATGAAATCTGTTACTTACAGATGTACTTTTGCCATGTCATCAGCTTCATCTTCATCTACTTCTATTGCTCCTGTATCAATAAATTGTCGTAATTCTTCATCTGGTTCTTCATCATCATCATCGTCACTTTCATCATCTTTCTCTTTTTCTTTTTCATCAGCTTCACTGCCTGAAACACGACATAATAAACGATCAATGAATTTGAATTTTTTTCAGTATCAAACCTGATTCTTCAGCTTCCATCTCGAATAATTGTTTTTTAAAATCAACCAATTCTTCATTATCTTCAAAGCCGTCTTCCTCCTCTTCTTCTTCTTCATCTTCTTCGACATTGTTACTTCCACTACTCGATTGTTTATTCGAAACAGTTTGATCTTCATCATCGTCATCAATCAATTGTCGAACTTTTGGACGGCGGACTTCAATGTCCGGTTCTTCTTCGATTTGCGTTGCTGGTAATGGAGAAAAAGCAATCGGTTCCGTATGTTTAAAATTTTGTGATGGAGCAATTCTTAAGTAAAATTCGAATACAACTACAAGAAAGAAGAAAAGAAAAACTAAATACACACATATTATCACCATCGAATGCGCCAGAACAAAGCATTTCAAGTTCAGAATCAAATTGAGCAGGACGTGAAGAATTAAACCATTCGGCTTTGCCGTCTTGTTCTCTAAATATATATATTAATTTATGCATAGGAAAGAGTTCGTGTTAAATCGTAGAGCGGATTCTTGAACTTGATATTTTAACGATTAACAGAGCGCGATATAGAAAATCGAGGTCGATCAGTGTCCTAGCGATTGTAATTTACCGGATGTGGGAAGTTCTTGGTGCGCCGTTTTATTTAGTTCCGTAAGAACAGAGAGGGTCTTAGATATTGATGCGATCGAGTTCGTATCTCTAAGTTATAAGATAAAGTGCGGTCGAGATTTGCGATACGATAAACGGACGTGTGAAACTTTATCGGCCGATAAAACGATGGAGACTAACGTATCAGGAAATTCCATAGGAGAGACTTAAGGACAACGAGCGTTTGTACAATGGGTGGCAATACGATCCTATGCAGCGAGCGACTCTTATAAACCATGGAAAACTTAAAATAGAAATTATTTCATCTGCTAAAAAGCATAAATAAGAATTACTTACTTTGGCTGGATATGCACTGATTCACTAGATGATTCTAATCGTGTAAGTATAGTCTAAATATCAATGATATAAACCAATTATTAACTTTTTTGTTTCTTTCTTAAAATGAATTACCTTTAATGACGGTCGATTTGGATCCGAAGATGGGTTTGTATTTTCTTTCTCTTCCGTCTCCTCGTCCTCTTCTTCTTCGATTTCGTCTTCATCATCTAAACAAAAAGACTTCGATCAGACGATTTGCATAAGAGAAGTGTGCTTTATATAACGGGAAGTGACAAATTCTTTTTATAACTTACTCGTTAAATGTGCGGATTCTTCATCGACTTGTAAATCATCCTGAAGATAAAAATTTTTTGCGGATAAAATTTATGTTTAAACTTTAAATTTTACATTTTCTTTATCGATTTCTGATATTATTTCTGAATCAGCGTCGTCGTTTGAATCCGATGAATCATCTTCAATTTCTTTCACATCTTCATCTTCGTCTTCGATTTGTACGTTTGTAGGATTGTCAGCTAACATCGCTGCTCGTTTAACTTGCATTCGAATACCCAGCTGCTTTTGCATATCAAATAGTTTCTTACTGGAAGATGGAGATTTATTAGAATCTAATGATTGGAAGAAAGCATTGTATTAAAAGAATCTAAATTAAATAAATTACCGAGAGAAATGTTTAATGCTGATTTCATCGTTGGGCTAAAAAAAAGAAAAATAATGAAGAAGTTTAATTAAAGGGATAATTTAATTTACTAGCTTGGTGCTTTTTTCGTATCATTCAAATCAATCATTGTATTTGATTCTTTCATTATATTTGACATGGTTGGTTTCTTTTTTAATATATCCGGATTTAAAAATCGACTAAGTTTACTGAGTTTATCCGACGATTTTGGTTTATCTTCGATTAATTTTGTTAAATCAGCAAGTGTTGAGACAACTGCAGATTCAATATTAACAACCGGTAGTTCTGGCAGTTCAGGATCTTGTGGAGTAAATGAAGGATTTCTGAGTAAGAGAGAAAACAAACAAATAGTCTTTGAAATTCAAAAGATTAGTTGGTTCATTACTTGGCACGAATTTCGTTCATTAATTCTAGTCGAGATCGTTTTTCTAATGCATGCCATGTTTCTAATGGTTTTGGTACAAAAGTCGGTAATACCAATTGTTCGGCTTAAATAAATTTTTTTGAGAATTTTTTTGAAAGTCCCTATCGCTCGAATTGATCCTAAACACTATCCTGTTTAAAGTTTGCCATATCACTCGAAAAGTTTCGTGTGTTATTTTCTTATAACATAATGATCCTATCATTCAAAGTCTTAATAGCAGTCTACTCGAAGGAGATTTTGCCCAGGCAAGCGATCGATCGTTCTGCATAATGTCACCGAGTAATTATCATGCATAGGAAGGATAAAAAAACGACGGCGTTCGATGAAATATTCATGTTGAGATAGAAACATTAAACTTACAACGACTGAGCTGTTGCATTTTGCGTTCTGTTTCAAGCACAATTCCTTTCGTAGGTTTACGAACTTTCGACTAAAATCGATTTTTAAATGTTAATAATTGAATGATTTATTTTACTTTATTATTTGTTTTTGTTTTATTTGATTGTATTTCTTCTTCATCGTCTATTTTCATTAAAACAATAATAAAATAAAATATTCTTTTTAACAAAAACCTTTCAACTTTACCAATTTTACTTGGAAATGAACTTCGACTATTACTATCATCTTGCTCATAAATATCCAATGTTTCAAGTTGAATTTTTGATTTCGATACACCAAGACTTTTTTTCTTTTTTACTGGTTTTATGTGTTCGATATCGATCGATTTTGAAATAATATCAAATGGATTTTCGTCATCGATCTGTAGTTCTTGTTCAGACGATGACGACAATATTGATACATCCAAAAATGCATGTCGAGCACGACTTTTTACTTTGGTTGATGACGGAATTTTCGTACCATCAATTATACCTTCATCATCATCGTCACTACTTTCTATTGAAGCTGATAAAAATTGTTTTTGAAACGATTCTATTTGTCGGCGTTCAATGTCAAAACTATCGCGTTCGTCATCACTATCGTAAAACAAATTTGATGACATTTCTAAAATAAATAGATTTAAGAATCCTGATAAGTTAAAAATCGATTTTTGAGGCCGAAATGTTTGCATAGAATCCACTGGATATGCTTTACGAGGATTCTTACTTAAATTTTATTGACAAATTTTTTTCCGGTAGTAAAAATATTTCATCAGAGATAGAATTATTTAATTCTGGTGCTTTTATCATCCTATCGGGTGCGATTACATCTCAATAGTGATTTTCTATACAGTCAATTGTGATCTTTAGAATGGTTTTTGTTTGTTTGTTTGATTGATAGTCTTTTCTAAATATTTGACGACGAAAAAGATAAAATCTACTTCCAAGAAGAATGTATCATCGCTCGATGTTTTCTAGTTCTTATAATAAATCTTCTTTTCCCATAAGAGAAAAGCTATTTTAAGAAAAAAAAATATTCATCTGAATCCTTGCCACTTAAAATCATGAACACAATACATATTTGTGTTTAGATCTACTAATTGAATTTATAATTAACTCATTACTTTACACTAGACGTATCAGTTCCCCAAACAAAAGTAAAATAATTTCTTTTGCGGAAGAACAAAAAAAAAAGTATTTCTTCCAACAACAAAACAAAAATCATAAATTCAATTTTTCCTTAATAAAAATAATATTAAATAAAAAAAACTTACGTATGAAACAATTCAATATTTAATTAAAAAAATTTGAATAATTTTTTCCCGTTATTTTTTTCTATTGGTCAATACGATTCACCAATCAAACACGACTTCCCTTTCCACCAACCGTCAATCTCAATGGCTTGTTCGCGATACAAATAAACAACAACAATAATAATAATAATAATATAATAATAATAATTCTAATGACAATAACAACAACACCTCAATTCTGTTAATAACAATGAGAATATCATCATTGTTATTTTTTTAGTTATTTTCATTTAATTTAAAATAAAGACAAAAAATTTTATTGTTTTTTTCCTCTATTTCTTTATTGTTTTTCTTCATTAACAAGTGCATAGATGTCTAGCGAGCTATTTTGGGCACATTTGCTAATCTTAGCTTGTCATAAATTTTCGTATTTTATACATTATATGTGGTTGTGTATGCTTGTAAAAAAGAACGTCTATTCATGAATATTTGATTTGATAGTTGGTTTTGTGATAAAAATTCTTTTTTACGATCATTTTTGTTTTTTCTTTAAGATTATTTTGACATAATTTCTTTTGTTGTTTGATAAATAACAAAACAACAAAAAGAATATTTTTTTCTAATTGACGCGCATCTATGCGTGTATGCATGGCTTCAGATGACGAATTGTTCATTAGAAAATGTTGATAGACTAAATCGAAAAATCAAAATGCCGAAACTTTGGAGTTGTATTGCACCGAAGAATGATGATGAGAAAAAACGCGAACAAATCAACAAACAAATTAATGCAAAATTAAAACAAGATGAAAAAATCTATAAAGCTACTTATCGTCTACTTCTCTTGGGTTTGTACAAAATCTATTTGCTTATTTTACTTTCTAATACAATTCATTGCTATTTTTTTTCAAGGTGCCGGCGAATCCGGCAAATCAACCGTTGTTAAACAAATGAAAATTTTGCATAATCCTTTCACTACACAGTATGAATTTTTTTTTCGTATTCGAGAATTCAATAAATTGTATTTTTCTAGAGAAAAAATCGATAAAATTCCTGATATTAAACGTAATATTCGTGATTCACTTTCTGTACGTAGATTATGATTTTGAGGGGCTTCATGGCTTTTATTTTAATTTTTTTAAAGAGTATTTTACGTGCTACGGAAAAAATCAATCCACCTATTACACTCGAACATCAACAAGAACAATGGCGTGCTACCTATATGTTAACAACAGCACATCAATTAGATTTTGATTATCCACCTGAATTCTATGAACATGCAGCAATACTTTGGCGTGATGCTGGTGTACAAGCTTGCTATGACCGATCGAATGAATTTCAACTTATCGATTGTGCTAAATAGTAATGTTTTTGAAAACGAAAAAAAAAATAGAGCAATTATTTTTATTTAGCTTTCTTGATCGTGTCGATGAAGTTAAACAACCAAATTATATGCCCAGTGATCAGGTTTGTTAATGAGTTTGATTTCGAGAAATAGAGTTTTTATTAAATTAGCCTAGTTATTTATGAATTAATTCAATGGGAAATAAATATAAGATTTTCTAAAATGCCAAAAATTCAATAATCGCTGCTTTGTTGTTTGATATGAAAGAAAAACCTAATTTAATATTTCGAAGTTAACCATGATGACTTATAGGATTGAATGCATTTCCGGAAAGTATAGATATCGGAAGTTACCTTTAGAAATTTAAATTGATTGATTTCAGATATATCCAAGTAGGATTTATATTTACTCGACAAGACATTTAAACTATCTAATCGTTATACGACGAGTTGTACGCTTTTTTTGTTGTTACTATGGATCGAGGGTAGAATGTCATGAACCTAATCTTATCAGTAGTCAACCGTCATCCTTGCACCTGTAAAGTAGGTGCCGAAGAACGTACTCACTGAGTCATTGCATCTATAAAAGATGTGTAATATAGAATTTGAATGTGATAAATTTCTTTCTAGGATATTCTTCGTTGTCGTGTGCTCACATCTGGTATTTACGAAACTATCTTTACCGTTGAACGCGTGCGCTTCCAGTATGTATTATTTTGCTGAAAGACGTAATATTAATAGTGTTTTGTCGAATTTTTATAGTATGTTTGATGTGGGCGGACAACGTGAAGAACGACGAAAATGGATACAATGTTTTAATGATGTTACTGCAATTATATTCGTCACAGCGTGTGACAGTTTTAATATGATGCTTCTTGAAGATGAAGGAGAAAATCGACTACGAGAATCACTTGAGCTGTTTAAAAATATATGGAATAATCGGTAAATTTGTTTAGTAAAACAAAGAACTTCAAATAAAAAAGATCTGTTTTAGATGGCTACGGACAATATCTGTTATATTATTTCTCAACAAACAAGATCTTTTAGCTGAAAAAATCAAAAGTGGTCGCCGACTTGAAGATTATTTTCCTGAATTTGCTCGATATGTTGTTTCACAAGGCGAGCCAGGTAAATATATAAAGGCTTGAAAAGAGAAGACGACAAATTTTGTTTTGTTTGTTCATCTATTTTATTTTTCACAGAGTTATCTGTACAAAAATACAGTAAGGACAAATAAAAGATGATATTTTGTTGTTTCGTTTTGCCATTTGTATTACGTAAAATTAACGTCCATTAAATTAATATAATATGAAATCATTTTTAAAAAATACGATATCTAAAATTTGCTTTTCTTCTTCTTCTTTAGACAAAGCCGAGCCGGATGAAGATCCTGAAGTAACGCGAGCTAAATATTTCATTCGCGATGAATTTTTAGTAAGACCAACAATAATGAATTGTCATTTGAAATTTTGTTTTCTTCTTTTTACAGCGAGTCAGCACGGCTACCGGTGAAAATCGCCATTATTGTTATCCGCATTTTACATGTGCGGTTGATACAGAAAATATTCGTCGAGTATTCAATGATTGTCGCGACATCATTCAACGTATGCACTTGAGACAGTACGAATTACTGTGATTCCTGTCTCTCGCTTTTTTCTCTTCATTTTGCTCTCGTTTAATTCTCATCTCGTAAATCTGTGTGTGCTTGTATTTTGAAATGTAACTCTCGTTTTTATTCTCAATTTTTTTCTTTGCGAAATTTCGCAAAAATTTTTCTTGTCTTCATATATATTTATTTTATTAGCAAAATAAGTTTGGTGTTTCTTCTTCTTGTTTTGTGTTCCGTTTTCCCAAACGCGCGCGCCGCTCAATTTTTAATGTCCTAACTCATTGTCCCCACCCCCTCTTTTTTTTCTTCTTTTTTTGTTTCTTTTTTGAAGAACGAACAAACAAAACACCTAAGACGCGCACGTCGAAATTGTTTGGTGCTGTCTATGTCGTTTATGTTCTTCTTCATAGTCTTGATGTTGTTGTCATCATTGTCTTGAGCTCAACAAAATTCGTTCCTGTCCTTCCTATTTCATACCTTTAAACAAACTCTGCTCGTCGTGTACAGTCTGTCTGTAGGTTAGTGTCGTGCTTGTTTTTTTTTCTTTCGCGCGTGTGTGCGTGCCAACAGTAACCGTCAACACAACAATATTCATTCTATTCTCTTTTTTTTTCCTTTTTGTTCTGCTACTATCTATCCATTATAACCCCAAAGAGAAAAAAAACCATACGATTTGAATCTCGGCCTGAGTGCCTTTTTTTTCTTCTTTTCTCTCATATTAGCGGCAATAGTCATCGGGGTTGTTTTGTGATCTATCAGCGCGACCGCGATGGAACCGAAACAACCAAAAATTTTATTTCTGTTTCTCTCTCTCTCTCTCTCTCTCTCTCTACAGCTTTTATATTCTGAAAAGAAAACAATACTAAAAAAACGAAATTTGCACGTCATCAAGCACTGTCTAATTTGAATTTTTTCTTTTTCTTCTTTTTAATACGCGTATATACACATATGTCCTCTTTCTCGTTTTTTTTTTCGCTTTCTTTTTGCTCGCTCGCGCGTTCTCGTTTTTTTTCTTTCTCTCGTTCTTTTTTTCTCAAAAACAAATGTGTTTGTATCTTCTTTCTCTCTCTCTCTCTCTGTGTCTGTGTGTGCGTGTCTCATCTAACTCCTTGAATGAAGTTTTCTTACACACACAAATAAACAAATACATAAGACG